AATATTAGCGCAAGTACAAAATGAAGTCGATCAAAGAGTGAGAAAATCCAAAGGACAGAGAACTTATCTCTAGAAGAAAATAAATTAATTGTGTCTGTGTGGCTTAACACAAGTAAAGGTGCAATTAATGAGAATGAATAAGGTGGTGCTTTCTGGTAAAAATTATTGAAATACTTAGAACTTATGGAGACAATCAAGAATAGCGTTCGCAAACTTCTATTAAAAGCTGTTGGACTGATATAAATGTAAAATGCGACAAATTTGTCAATTTTTATAGTCAAATTGAAAAAGTGCAACAAAGTGGACACATCGAGCAAAATAATGTAACGGTTAAGTTTTTTTAGATAGACACTACTATGATTTAATATTTGAACTATTGACTGAATGATTTCTTATGTCTTTCAAGTTAGTGAAACAAAAGAAATGTTTGCTAAGATCATTATAAGACCATTTTAATACAAGAATTGTTAGAATATATTGAAAATGGAGCGAAAATAGACTAAAAGACTCACTAGCAATAAGAGAGGAAAAACATATTTAACTGGTAGTCCTGTTGAATCAAATTATGTTGAATCTTACTATTCAACTTCATATTTAGGGGATGACACTAAACCTTCGTCCACTCTCAATCTTGATAGGTCATTAGGCAAAAAGACTTCGAAGAAACAACTTAAAAACAAAGAGAAGCAAACTGGTGGTGAAACATCACTAGATCATCACCACTGAAATTAAAGAATGGAAGTAGAACGACAAAAAATTGAGCGGCACGACAAAATTTATGCTCAACAGAAGATAGCATTGGAGCAACATCGTAGATAGTTAAAAATTGAAGAAAGACAGGTGCAAGAAATTGAAAGGTAAAATGAAATGAAAATCATGAAAACTGACACTACTAGCATGGACCCAATTTCTGCAATATATTGGAATAACGTGAAGATAGAGATTATGAAAAAAAATGGGGTTTTAATTTTTTGTCGTTATTTATTATGTTGCTATTATTTTTAATTTTTATTCATTATTTATTATGTTATTATTTTTTATGAAAAACTATGTATTAAGTTTTAATTATGGTGTATAAATTTAATTATATTTTTTAATAATATAATTAAAAAATAACACCTTGTTTTGACACTTGTTATTAGAGCAGATTTTTAATTTAAAAATATCAAAATACTATTCAAAATTATAAATAAATGATTTTTCACTCTAAAATGACAACCTTTTAGAGTTGCTCTAAAGATGATTAAAGCATAACCTTAAACTGTGTGGTTGTGTTAGAGATGACGGAGGCATCAAATGTGGATCATAGTATGGAAAAGGTTTTCAACACCAACACACAACTAGGCATAACAATGGTGTTATGTTAAAGAATTTCGGATCGAATAAAACGGATTTATATTAAAAAAAATTTGATTCATATCTTATTCATTCAAAAAAAATTTGATTCATATCTTATTTGTTTATATGAATTCGTTCAACTATCACACTCGTACACGACTCATTTATTAGACGAGTTATTCAACACAATACGTGTGTCACCCACTGAGTAAGAGAATCAGTTAGAGTTTTTCAAGTTCGCACAAAAAATATTAACTCACCACACATTACATATATTTGACATGTTTATTACAACAATAATTCATGACTGAGCAAAAAAATGTGTGCATCAAAACGAATGTGAAAGAATTCATCATTTTTGAAATGAGGTAGAGGCCGAGAGACCGGGCATATTTGGTTTGGTTTTCAAAAACAGTTTTTTGTTTTCAATCTCTAAAAACAAGGAAAACTTGTTTGTTTAGTTTTTTTATTCTCAATTTTTTTGAAAATTTTGGAAAATGAGATGTGATTTTAGAGAACAAGAAAATGGTATTTTCATTGTTTTCTAAGGTAAAATGAAAACACGGGGAACACACAATACCAAATTAATGAGGTCTCCCATTCGAGTTTCGTTGGAGACAAAAAATGGTGACTGACTGTTCATCTCCAACGACTGTTCATCTTTTCCACTAGCTATTCATCTTTTCCTTTCTGTCTCTGCGCAACAGATCTGTATGAACCCAGATCTTTGTATATATATATATAGTTGTGTGTGTTTATTTTTGCAGGGTGAGAATATAATGGAGAGATAGGGATACTTGTTGTGTGAAAAGATAATGGATAAAGAGTTGTTGGGTGAGAAGCCGATGGATGTTACTGCAGGTTTTTTTTTTTTTTTTCAGAAGTGATAGGTTAAAAATTGATTTTATGAATCATTGTCCAAACAAGTTTTACTATTTTTTATTATTTAAAACTATTTTCAAAAAATATATAACCAAACTGGTTTTACAATCTAAAATTTTTAAAAATACTTTCTTAAAACTCTTTCCAAAAATAGTTTTCAAATACTGTTTTTTGAGATGCAAATCAACACAGGTCCCTAATTTTTTTAAAAAAATTTACAGTATCACTGTTAATGGATTAAACTAGTTTATGAGGTAAACACAAAACTGATTTTTTTTTATTTCACAATTTTATCGAATTAATCTGTTAACCACCCGAATCCGTTAAATATTACACTTAAACTTGCTAAATTCATATCGTGTTTCGTGGTAATTTCATGAATCATGTTAAGAATAGTCGGTCCTACTCACCACCCACCATCTTTCCTTACCATATGAATGTGTATGCGTGGGTGAGTAGTTTTTTTTAAATAAAAATTTTAATCAGGAATTTTTTTGGGTATTTAGACATCCAACTTAGTTGTAAATCCATTTCCTTTCAAAGTTCATTAATTCCCCAATTGTTGGCTTTTTCTTTATTTTAAGATTTTACTCTTCTTTTCAATTCTTTATGCCTCTTCGAATTCGAAGAAAATACATAATGCAACTGTAATACTATGTCATTGCTGTAATATTATCGGCCAATATTGTGCAATTTAAAATTAAAATAAAGAGAGAGAAAATAGAGATAGGTGGATTAATTAGATTTCTTGACATTGATGAGTGTGTGATGTTGTCGATTGAGTTGTCTGACATTATGAGTCATGCATAAAATATAATGTTCTTGAATGATAATTTTTTTTTTTAGAATGAATTTTGCATTATTACATCAAAATAAATAAAAATTAAAATATTTTTAATTATTATTATATTTTAATAAATTGAAAATTCAACTTGTTACCATAATATTATTAGAGAATGAGATCACTTGACATCGATAAAGTTCAATATTTGCTCTTCGATCTGGCCCATCCATAGAAGTTCTCAAGGCCTTTAAGACAACTGGACTTGGTCCAAAACACTTAGCTTCGTATTGCGTACGTCAGAGAGGTGGTTGGAAACGTGGATAACGAGTCTTTGCTTACCTCGGGCCCACCAGAATAGACCCTTAAAAAAAAGATGGAATATTGGGTTAATGTTAGTTTGCCGCCTAAAATATTTTAAAATTATAATCAATCCCCACGAAGATTAAAAGTCTCATATTATATCTGAAAAATTATAATTTTTTGAATGTAGTTTTCCTTACTCACGTGCAGATTAAAAAAAAATTGAAAAATTTAAATGATTATAAGGATTTAAGGATGATTAACGTACATTTGATTATAATTACAAAAGTTATGTTTTGAAAAAAATATAAAATTATATAGATATTTTGAAAGTGGATACCAAATTCCACTCTCTCTTTCTTAATAATAATTTTTTTTGTCAACCCTTTCTTAATAATACAGATAAGGTATAATGTGAGACTAAATTAATTTAGTGGTGGTTCGACCACCTAATAAACCACACATAAGGGGTAGGTCAATAGTTCGAATTAAGTGGTTTGTGATCTAATGATACTTGTTATTTTGTGAAAACTTTATCTTCTTGAAATCAATGGATCAAATCCCTGTCCCCTCCCCTCCTCATCCTATCCCCAAAAAAATAGTTCAAATATTTATGAAGTGTAGTTTTTTGGTGCCACCGCTCATAAATTTACCCAATCATGCAGAAAAACTATTTTGTATGAGGTCTAACATGAGTCTGATACATGAGCTGGTAAGTATTGCAGTGATTTTTAGTTTAATGATATTTTTTATCTTGTGAATTCTTTATTTTTTTTAAGTCAATGGTTCAAGCTCTCCTCCCATTCTCTCCCCCATCCCCCCCCCCCCCCCCCCAAAAAAAAAAAAAGTATTACAGTGATCTACTGAAACAATTGATATATTAAACAAATGTGAGACTAATTGAAATTTTTTAAAATTTCGGTGCTAAAAGTATCATTCGCCCCCAAAAAAATTGAATAATAGATAGGAGTCAGAAACAGAGTTCGAATATTCATGTTTCTTTTTTTCGCTTCCTCTGTCTATCTCCACCGATTTCTTTTCTGAGAGTCTTTGGTCCTCAAACCCTGATTTCAACCTAACATCGACCTTGAGAGCTAATTTTTAATTCTTTGTCAATTCCGACGATAGATTACGGAGTCATCAGATCTGTTTATCTCTGCAAATAAGGTTATTGTTGCTGTAATTAATCTTTTTTCTATTTTTTTTGGCGATATAATTGTTGTTTCTGTTAGGAGTTGATGATTAGGGTACTGAATTTTCATGTTTTTGGGCTATGAAGATGTAAATCTCGATTCTTTATGTCTGTTTTGGTATTTTCTTTGGCATTTGGAAGCTAGGGCTATATATTTCTTCTTGTTGCGATGAATATAATTTTTATATGTAGATCGAATTTTAAGCATTGCCTGCTGGTGGAATGATCGATCTTTATAATCCTTTCAGTAATTTGCTTGAAAACTTGAACGAAAAAATGGAAAACTATTCTCATGTTTTTTTAATCGCCTCTGCTCTGGTTGGCCTATTTCAGAAAACGAGGGAGAAATTTGCTATTTCAGTAACCTCTATGATTTTCTATACACACAGTAACCTCTATGATTTTCTATACATACATTAACCTATTTGATTTATTTATTTTTATTAAAGGAAACATTATTGTTTTGAAATTATTGGTCTTTTTTTTTATAATTCTGCAGGAACCATGTCTCTTGCACGGGCTCACCGTTCACGAGGCGGCCATTTTCGCGGTGGCTGTAGGCCCTCTTTTAATGGAAACCACTATCACAACTCTAACTCAACCGCCACTACTACCACTTCCAAGAACGACTACTATGATTCAAATATTAATTCTATGTGGAATTATAACAATTACCATGATGCATCAATGAATCTTGGGCAGCAGAACTTCAGTTTTAATTACCCTAAGCCTGAAGTACACCATTCTTCAAAAAAGAGAAAGTTTTCTGCCTCTAATTGGGAAAACAACGGGAGACCGTATCACCAACCCCTCACATATGATCATGCCTCTTCAACTTGCAACAACAGTTCGCTGGTCACTGCTACTACAAGGCCTAATGCCAATGCAAATATGGCCACTACCTGCAAACATGACCGCGCAACATTTGAGGATGATGATGTGTTCTTTATGTCAAGGGATCAGATTGAGAATTGCTCCCCGTCGAGGAAAGATGGGATTGACTCATCACGTGAAATGCATTTGCGGTACTCATATTGCTCTTTCCTTCAGAATGTTGGTGCTCGGGTTGAGTTGTAAGTCTTTGGTTTCCACTTATATATGGAACTCTTTTGTTGTTGTTTTTTTCTCTAGCCATTGTGTTTGTTTTTAAGAATTGTTGGTCTTATGAATATTTTATTTGGACTTACTTGCAGGCCACAAACAACAATTGGCACTGCCATGGTTCTATGCCACCGGTTTTTTATTCGACGGTCACATGCTTGTCACGATAGATATGTGCGTTTCTATTTCCTTTTGTGTAATATCCATAATAACTGTGACCCCTTCCTTTATGAGGATTAACAAAAAAAGCTTAATCATGTTGAGAATTGGTCCTAAATTTGTGCTCTTTTATTGAAGAAAAATCATGTTTATTCTGAACTGTCTTCAAATACAGTTTTTACCTAGTTGTTCATTTTATCTTGGCATGAATTTTTTTGGGCAAACCTTTGAAGGCTAACATGTCCTTGATTGGTTATGGGGCTGCTAACATGCCTTGATTTTTTGATGGAGCTCTTGGAACCTATAACTTATGTGACTAATAAATCGCGTTGAAAATGTGCTTTTTATTCATGTCATGCTTTATGTAACATTCTGGTTGGTAGTGGTTGTGCATGAGTTTGTGTATGTGAACATAGTTACGCAGTTGCACCTAAGGATGCATAAATGATATATTGCTTGTTTCATTCCCTTTCCTCCTTGATATGTGCTTGGCACTACATGTTTGTTAATTTTGTAATGCAAACGTTTATAACTGCTGCTTGAATTCTGTTGCAGTTGATTGCTACGGCTGCTATTTTCCTGGCTGCAAAGTCTGAGGAGACACCATGTCCTCTGAACAACGTCTTGAGAGCATCATGTGAAATTCTCCACAAACAGGATCTATCTTATATCTCCTATCTGCTCCCTGTGGTGAGTATTTTAAGGATTCCTTTCTTTCCACCTCTTTGCCCTGGTCACTCCTCTCTATGTGTGTGTGCGTGTGTCTAACCTTTACCTCTTTCCTTTCTGAAAGGGCAAAAAGGAAAAAAAATAAAGTATTAAGTGTCCCTATGGACCAAGATGACTGTGTCTGAAAGTTCTTTCATGAGGCAAGGTGTTTTCATATAACTTGTAAACATTATTTATGATGCCAAATCTTTACTATGCCAAGCAATATTGTGCATGTACTCGGAACTCAGTTTGAAATGGGTAATTTTCTGCAACCTTGGATATTTCCTAATTTCTCAGTTGACAAATCAACTCATACATGCCATTCTTTAATTGAATACAAAATGAAAATTTATCGGTACACCTAGCTTGAAATGTTAATCCATATGACATTCAAGTCTTCACACCTGTGTACTGTAGAAATCCCTCCTGTGGATCCGTTCAGCAACGTGTTCAACATGCTTATACTTCAAATTCAATTGGATTAAAGCTTTACTGAACTGAACTTCGTGGTTTGTATTTCTAATGTTTTAAAAATGGGTTGACATTGACAGGACTGGTTTGAGCAGTATCGAGAACGAGTGATTGAAGCTGAGCAAATGATATTGACAACTCTAAATTTCGAGCTTAGTGTGCAGCATCCATATGCTCCTCTTACATCCATTCTGAATAAACTAGGGTTTTCACAATCAGTCCTGGTGAATCTGGCTTTGACCTTGGTTAGTGAAGGGTAAGTTTGCCAGTTCCACTCTTTCTATGCTACCATGAGCAAAAAAAGTTCATTATTTGCTTTATTGGTTGCTCCAGTCAGATATTGGGGCAGTTCTTTTTGGAAGGATATAACACACATTATTGCGCACTCTGTTGGCGTGTACATCTAATAATCCTGCCTTGCTCTCTTGGACATTACTTGGTATCTGGATGCTGCTGTAATGTACTCTTATTTACACAACTACTGCATACACATTGTGTAGAAAGTTAGAACATCTCTTGTGGTTATGATTGCGATTGTGAATATCTGACTGGTTGTTTCTTGGAGACAGCCATAGGAGGATAAGTTATTTTCTTCTTCTGCCTTTCCGGGTTTTGTATTGCTTTTTACTTGTGCCTGTGTCTTCCTTTTTTCTGTTTGAGTAATTGCTATATGTAGTCATTCTGGCATGGGATATTGATGTTTTTGGATTGGCATATAATTGCAGGGTCTATAGAAGATTAGCGTGCTCAACTGCATTATAATCTTAGCTGGCGGATTGATATGCTGTTCATCAAAAGTTTTGTTTTTCATCTGAAGTAGAACAACCGATGTGTTATGGTTCCATGAATTAACGTTGTTTAGTTGGTCAGTGTTTAATAGATGATAGCTACAGATGCTCCAGAACCAGTTTGGCCATGTCCTTTTTCACTTGTCCATGTTCCTATGGGATGACTTGTGGAATACTCCTACACATTTTTCTCTACTAGACAAGGAGGCCTTTGGTGTCCATACGAGATACTGATGTATAGGCCATGGGACTACGAAAAGGTGTTTGATGAATCATGCTTGTTCATCGGGATATTTGGGCTCTGAACACCGTACTTGTTGACTGCCTTGACACGCGTTACAGTCATAAAAGGTTTCTTCTGGTGGTTTTAGGGTTTTTTTTTTGTTGGGGAGGAGGGGGGGTGTTTCGCTGGAACTTTTTCAGGTTAGATTTGAGTTTTCTTTTTTTGTTCTTAAAATCTTTCCAAAATTCGTGCAAATGCCTTTTTGCTTTTTGCCATTTATTGTTCAACTACCATCCCCCCCAACACACACACAACCAAAAAAAAAACAACTCTCACAAATAAGAAAAGAAAGAGAGGAATAATTTTTATGGTATTCTTCAGTATAAGTGTGCCCTTTTCACCATTCTACGCTATAGGTGTGATGTCATCTTTACTGTTGCACTTGCACCATGAGTTTAAACACCCACACAGGGGGGGGGGGGGCCTCTATCTGAGTCATTTATTATTGAGGTGTTGGACCTACGCAGTTGGAGTTTTTAGTCACTGATCGTTTCTGCTATTATTGGTTTGGACAGTTTAGGCACGCTGTAAGCTTTTTATCTTGAAATCGGTAGCAGCAGTGACAGTTATCGGTTGAAGTGTTGGTGGTGATCCTTTAGGTTTGACGTTTTTTAAATCTGTTATAAAAAATAACTCTAGTTTTGCAATTAGAGGTGTTGATTACTTTTGGAAAATTAGATCTATGCCTAGGCTCCTATTTTGGTAATGGTAGCTTCTCGGTGGGCTAACAATTGCCATATTAGTGGGGTAGGTGGTGGTGTTGATTGGTTTATCATATAATTAATTGTATAATAAGATGATTATATACATTTATACATGTCTAATTTTTTAATTACTTTTACTATGATATAATCCAATTCATTTTTGGATCCTTAATTTTATATGTCGTTCTGTGAGCAGCAGTGACGGTTGTCTCTGGTAGCGCTGTTGGTGGCCCTATAGTTTTGATGTATGCTAAATTTAGTATAAAAACTCTACAAGTCTAGTTTTGACAATTAGATTTAGTTGGTTATTTTTGGAAACTTAGATGTATAACTGGCCTCCAAGCTATCTGCCCCAGTAAATATACCAAAGAGAAAAAAAAACTTATCAGTACATTTTTCTGTCAACTATAGGAAACTGACTTAATTTACATATTTTCTCTAACATCATGAAATTACTATGCCTTTATTTAATTTCTTTTAACTATGTTTTACTACAAAATATTTGTTATATGAGATTTGCGTTATCCCCACCTATTTTTCTTTTCTTTCGTCTCCTGTCCTTTTTTCTTTCTGGGGTTTTAATTTCATGCACCTGGAGTCATTATTGGCAAGTATTTATTTCGTAAAGGCACTCTTAACTACATATTGTGAGCATCTGTTTCCAATTTACTATTGGCAACCAGGATTTACATTTCAGAAATTTCTACATGGTTGAACCATCAATATCTTTTTGTTATATGGAGAAGCAAAACTACTACTTCCGAATTTCTTGAATGGGAATCATGTCACAGCAGATCTTTTACTGAAATATTTCTCACTTCAGAATTTTGGTCATTGTTTTCAAAACCACCATTATGAGGTCTGACTAATTTTTTGTGGTAAACAATCGACACAATATATAACTATAAACATATTATATAGTATATAGATGACGGCCTAGTGCAGGAGGCTCCCACCATTTTATGGTGCCCCTATGTCGACTGAAGCCAAGTCAAGGTTCAGATCCCTTAATATAGGTATAGTTTTAATTCACTAAGTGATTCCTTTAGCATATCCACATGCATACATATTTGCATCCATGCCCAAAAGTTTACATGGTGGAAAGCCTTTCCGGAGTGAAGTTTTTAGCAAAAAAAAGCCAGCATTTACTCTCAGGGACTACATTCATTGCAACTTGTGTTGCTTCTTCCTGTTTGCCCTTTCATTTGAACTGTGTATGTTGCTGGAGCCGAAGCCCGCTGTGGCATTGCTGGGACTGGGAGTTGATGTGTTCCTAGATGGTTATAACATGTTTGCTATAGATTTCGTGATCATGTCAACACTTACTGCAGAAGATTCTTGGCAAATATGTCACTTGGGTTGCTGCCTTGATAGTTGGTAAGGAGGAATTGCTTGCCTTGCTTTTTCTTACTGAAACTTCAATTTTTTGTCTATAGTCCAGTTAGTCTTGTATATTGCACTTGTATGGTTGTAATTAGCCAAGAGTTTTTTCTGAGAATTATGGAGCTGATTGTGTTTGTGCTAATGTGGCAAATATACAACGTTGCAAGAGACCTTGTCCTGTCGTAATTGTGTTTCTTCATATGGTTTGTTTGACTATCCATTTTGTTCTCAATCAATGTGACAATTATTATTCTCTTGTTACCTTGTGTTTTAAAGTTGGGTATCATTTTGTAGGCTTCGAAGCTCACTGTGGCTTCAATTCAAACCTCATCAGATTGCAGCGGGAGCTGCATATCTTGCTGCAAACTTTTTAAATATGGATCTCAGTACATACAAGAATGTCTGGCAGGAGTTCCAAACACCACCTTCTATAATTAAAGGTATTTTTAGTTCAATGTTAAATGTTCCATTTATTCTCTAAACGTGTGTGTTTAACATAAGATCCATTCATTAGGCCTTGGATTTTGTGAACACCAATTTTACCACAATCTTATATTTTTCAAAAATTAACCTTACTTTTTTCTCTAGCAACTAGCAAGTAAGAATTTTGTAAGTAGAAATATGTAATTCTGCAAAACACAGTGAGCTTATGACTCAATGAAAGCGACAATAGGCTTCCCTTTACCTAAACTAGCAGGTTGAATCCAAAAAGTCAAAGACCATACAGCTATAGACGACCACTAAGTTTTCATATTAGCCCAGGAAACAGGTTGCTCTGGGCTATTAATGTGTAGGCTAACATGGTGTTTAGGAGTGTAGATGTTTCTTTTTAGAGGAAAGCTTAGGCCTAGTGGCTCTTTGTGTTTACCACTTTATTCGTATGATACTTTTGACTTTTTGTCCTAATGAGACAGACATTAAGATCTTTCATAGTTAGATTTGAAGCTTTTTGTTAGCACTATGCTGCAATCAATGAAATCTAACTTTTACAGAACTGGTTTCGTGGCCTAGTAATTAGTAGGATCCTACAGTGGAGCAGACTTTTAAGGATTTTGACTTGTGTCATGGAAAATGTTGCTGGAATACTTCTCTTTGTTCTTTTCTCCATGTTTTGCATGTTGAATGAATAGTTCACATATAGCCCTCAGTTGTCACGCTATATTGCATTTGCATCTTTTTAGTTCTAGATTTTTGGACACGTTTATGGAACCCTGACATCATGTGATTGTTTGATGCAGATGTCGCGCAGCAGTTGATGGAACTGTTTTAGAAGATAACAGTACGTGTTAGCCCTGTAGGTATATTTTTTTGTTTATTGTAATATTTGATCAGTGGAGTTAAAGCTTTGCGGGGAAGATAATGGGAGTTCTAAATATTTGTTTGTCACTGGGTATTAGAAGTATACGTTGCAAGGGTCCGTAGTGTAAGTTCTTATGAATATAAAGGATGGCGTGTTGACATTACAGACGGTATAAAAAGACTTGGTGATTTTCTTCTTCGCTCCTGGTTCAGAGCGTGTTAACTGTTATCTTACCAGTTTAGCATCCTATAAAGACCCGGGAATTCATGTTGGTGATGGATTGTTAGATTTTCGCCGCAGGGTGTATTAAGTTGTCCGGGTTCTGGACTGTGGATAGGTGGTTCTCTCGTATGCCATCTTCCTGCTGAGCCTGTTGATCGATTTCATGGTGGCAGTATGATAAGCGAGGAAGACTGCTATACAAGTTCGAGGGATATGTTTGCACCTGCGTGTATCCGTGGGAGCTGACAAGGTAGCCATGGAGCGTTTAGGGACAAGGTCGCATTTATGTTTCTGATATGGGTAAGCGACCTCATGGGTGGTGATTATCTGTCGCTAAAAAATCAACGACAGAGTTGATGTTGATTAAGATAGCGTCGTTTTGCACCAAAACAAGGCCGTTTCATTTAACAAAATAACGTTGTTTTAGTTCAAAACGCCAAAACGAAGCTGTTTAAGCTAATGCTGTTAAAAATTAACAGCCGAGGAGTCGGATCCATTATATAAATGGGGAGACTCCATTATAGTGATGACATTAGTGTCATCATTAATGTCATCATTATATTGAATATTTACGTCAATAAATGGGAGCTTTTATATTTGGGGTATAACAGAACGTGTGAAGTAGAAACACGTTGTGTCTACATTGTCTATTACACTTGAAATTTCACATTTAACTCCAAAAGAGCCTAACTTTTAGAACGAGATGGAAACTTCTGAGGCTTAATAAGATACATCAATCTTACAAGTACAAAACAGAACATGCACGTTATAAACACAATACATTTGCACATTAAAATGTTGCATAGGTGTATTTGTGTATCAAGAGTAATGTTATATGTATTAAAAAATTGTCAGTCGTTGGATGATAGTAAGACTTACTAATCTAACGATCGATAATCATTTGATGCATGAATTTGGTGCACAAATTTTATGCATATAGTATTTCCGTTGCATTAACAACATTTACTGATAAATTGTTTTGTCCCTCCATTTTAGGGGGAAGATTGCGGTACTAGTATCATATTAAAAATTATAATTTTTCAATAATAAATTACAATATTTTGAGATGCAAGGTTATAATTTGTAAAGGGCATGCTCCGACTTAAATATTGAAATTGATCATAGAAGTTACAACTTTCAAAAATTAAGTTAAATGTCAAATTACAACTCATAAAAAAGATCTAGAACAATTAAAACTTTTCCTTTCAAGGTGTAAATTATTTCATTAACAACAATAATTTTTGATACGGTGATTTTTTTTTTTTTTAAATAAACTTTTCCTTATTGTAGACCCCAATAAATAAATTAATGGTATAATAATTGGCACAACTTACGAGGTAGCTCTATTTGTACCACATGCTAATGGGTATTTTGAGGTTGAGTGCCAAACTTAGGTGGTTGTTGCTGAGGGGATAGGATAGGAACTAGGAAGAGTATGATACCCCAACTTGCACGTTACTTAAATATGTGCGCCAACTTAAGATTTTTCTTGAAATGCGGATCCTTTAAAAAGCTGCTACCAACTTAGGATAAATCCGCGGAGGTACAATTTTAGAAGTGGTTTAGTAGTTGAGTTTATTTGATAATTTAAATGTCTCAGATTTAATATATTTTTATATTTTTTTAGGACTAGTCATTCTTGTATTTTAAAAAATATATTTTAATTCAACTCAAGTTACAGTGAATAACTATTGAATTCGAAAGAATAGTCGGTACAAAATAAAACAACTTTTAACTAATAACTAAAAAATTCGTAGAGATGATGAGCAAATGGGACACCAAGAGGAATTAGTGCTTCTTGTAACTATTTAGCTCCATATAATATAAGTAACATGTATGAGTTAAAAAGTAATTAAATTGAAACATTTCGAAACACTAAACAAATGAAATGTTATCAAGATGAACAGTAGATGTGAATGATCTAATTAAGTGGTTTCGGTCGTTGTAGTAACTCTTGAAGTCAATTATATAAGATATAAATAAGTCTAATTACAATTTTTTAGGTGTTTAAAAATCATAACGTGATCTCAAAAAATTGATTTTTTTTATGTAACTAACTCCAAAAAATTATATCTTTACACATAAAACTTTTAAAATTTGGTACCTTAACTATTTTGGTACCATATAGACCCGTCAGTTGTGTCGGGCGAGACATACTCGTATTGAGTCTTATTTATTAATTTGCATCTAACAAATCGTGTTATAAATATATCATATACAATCAGTATATAAACGAATCATGTTATCCATTTTTTTTAATTAACTTCATTCATATTTGATTTATTTATTAATTATGTCGTGTCGAGCCTATTCATTTAATCCTTCAATTTCATATCATGTATGTCGGTAATATTTTGACAAGAACAATAATACAAAATTTCAATAAAATCAAAAAAATTATAATTTAAATATATATTATCTTTTAAATGGGTAAGTTTTATTAATTTTTTTCAATGAAATTCACTCGCCTACTAAAAAATAATATGTATGTAAATCTTATTTGAGTTATGTATCACTTTTCTTTGGACAACCCTCGTACCATAGTCAAAACCGGTAAGATATGTACGAAGGAAGTAATGGCCGGCATTAACATAAGAAAACTCTGTTATAACTAAATCACATATCAATCCAAAAGTTTCAACGCATTCCAACAAGAAGAAGCACAATATACACAGACAATATAAATGTCGTTCTCTATTCAAATATAGAAGCAGGTACAGACCCTTATCTAAACCTTTTCTACACACACATCACCTTTAAGACCCGTGACGCTTTGCCTCTCTCTCACTTGTACGTGTGTGTGCGCGTGAAAATCTGCAAAGAAATATAGAAAGTTTTTGGGAATTTGGTGGGTCAGAAGATCAAATCTATACCATTGTTTTGCTGAGGAAAGTTCAATGGATTCACCAGCTCAGCGTCGACTTAGAACTATTCAAAACCACCTGACTTCCACCGCGGAAGATCAATCGTCACTTATTCGGCCGAATCAGGCCGCCGGCGAGTTCTTTTTAGGTTATCTCTCGCTCTCCGTGTGTGTGTATGTCTATATTTTGTATTTGGGATTTTTTTTTTCTGTGTCGAGATTGAGCCGGCGGGTTTAACTTTTGGTGGGCTTTTCAAATTTGGTTTGTTTCTGGTTATGATTTTTGTGGTTACTGTGAAACAAGTGAATTGGATTTCACTGAAACTTCAATTTTACCGTACAACTTTTTTTTGGCGCTTCACTCTTTTTGAAAGTTATTGTTGCTTTTGCAGGTCAACACGATAATTGTGTTTGTGTGTTTTTTTTTTTTTTTGGGGGGGGGGGGGGTGGTGTTTAACTTGTTTAGTTCTTTATGTGGGTGGATTTTTGTTGTTCACATTAGCATCAGTTTGGTGGTTAAGAAAATTAAGGAAAAGAAAATGAACAGAAAAATTCTCAGCCTTTTTTTCTTTTGGTTCTAGCAAACTGTAAACGTTATCTGAACTGAGGGAAATAGATTACTTCCTTTAATTGAATTCCATTGGGGGATTTTGAATTCTTGGGTTTCAAAGGAAGGGTTAGAACTGGTATATTGAAGTTCCCAGACCCTGCAATGGCAAGAGCACTGATCACCCATTGTAGAATATTCGTTCCATCATATTCTGTCTTTTCATTTTGATTTAAAAAGTGAAGGCTAATGTATGGTTTGGAATTTCGATTCAAAAAGTGACTTGAGTAATGGGTCCCAAAAGGCACTTTGGGAGAAAGTTGATGATGTGATTGTATGAAAACGACGATTGTGTTTTCCTACATGATTGCAGGCGTGAATATGTGAGGGTTAAATTATTGAAGCTGGGGGAACTGTAATTTCGAGGCTAATGCCATCTGGTCTGCAGCCTATGCATTGCTGGTAATTAGACAGGGCCCATCATCCTAATATGAGATTAGTCTCCCCTCCACATCTGTGTCTCAAAATTGGTTGTAATCCACAAGAGATTTGGCTTATCAGAAAGCAAGAGTTTTGGCTTTCAGACTGAAAACATTGCACAAGTATTGCAGTATATTTACTCCTCATAAAGGACTCCTTACATCCATCATGCCTTGGGCATTAAGGGCTCAAGTCACGAAAATAACCACTCTACATGTAGGGCCAAGACTTCATACATTTGACTGGACTTTCTATAAACCCCGCAATGGTGAAAGTCTTGTACACTTGACTGTTATTTTTTGTTGTACTCGTTAACATTTTGATTTCAGAACATGAAAAAATCGCTATTTGTTGTACTTGAAGTATCCATGAGTGAAAGGAATACCCAAACTTAGAGTAGAGCTGCGTATATATAGTCAAATAATAGTATAAAGTGACCTGAACATCTCTCTAGTCTAGACAAAATATAAAAGTCATAGTAAGGGTAAAAAAGAAAAAAAAAACTCTGATAAACTAAACTATAATTTCAACACTTCCTCTCAAATAAGAAGCAAAAATGTCAACTAAGTCAAACTTAACAAAGAAGTCTCAAAGAATGGATAGAGTAACAGGTTTGGTGAAAACATCCGCAACCTGATCACCAGTTCCCACCAACAGTGGAGTGACAATACTGCAACTAATCTTCTCTCCAAGAAAGTGAATATTGATCTCTAAATGCTTCGTCCTTTCGTGTAGTACAAAGTCAGAAATAAACTGAATAGCAGATTGAATATTACAATATAATGTGGATGGAGAAGGCACTAGAAATCCCAATTCGCCAAGAATCGATCGTAGCCAAATAATCTCATACGTGCCAAGTGTCAGCGTCTGATATTTTGCCTCTGTTGACAAGTGAGAGACAACTACCTGTTTCTTGTTTTTCCAAGAGATAAGATGAGTTTCTCGAAAAGTATAGAAGTCCGTAGTAGATTGGCCGTCACACGCTCCCCTATAATCTGAATCTGAATAACAGGGTAGAGAACCAGTTTGAGATCCTGATGCATAAAATAATTAAAGTTTAAGACAAGACTTGAGATATTGAAGAATATGATAAACTGCATTCAGATGAGTCTGATACAGCCTGTGCATGAACTAATTAACTTGGCTGACAGCGAATGAAATGTCTGGTCTAGTATTAGCTAGATAGATAAGTCTACCTACCAACCACTGATAGACAATCAGATCTCTCAATTTCTCACCTTCAAAAGTAAGCTTCACGTAGTTGCTGGGGCAGCAGAGGTTTTGTGGGTGATTATAACTTATGCTGGGAAGGGTGGTTTTGCAGGGTTGCTGGTGTTGGTGGCTTCGCTATGGCCGAGTTGCTGGTGTTGGGATGCTGTCGGTGGATTGTGGGGAAGGCTAGGGTTAGAGGTAGGCTCTGATACCAAATTGAAGTATCTATGAGTGAAAGGGATACCCAAACGAAGAGTAAAGTCTTGTATATATAGCCAAATAATAGTATAAAGTGATCTGAACATCCCTCTGGTCTAGGCAAAACATAAAAATCATATTAAGAGTAAAAAAGGAAAAATAAATTCTAATAAACGTGACTATAACTCCAACAGTTGTGAAACTGCTTTTTGGTGTTTTTGTTCGTGGTGTGTGTAGGCATTGAACTCATCCCTTTCTACGTAAATTCTTAAGTCAATAGCTTGCTGAGTGGGAACTTCATGGTTGTGACGCTGAAAAGATTTCTCCCTATAGATCTTTGTTTCTTATTATGATGTTGTCAAGGTTGGTGGACTGCTATATGTGGATAGAATTCAGTTTCAGGAAGCTGTTATGCAGACTGTTTGATCGGTAATTCATGAGGTTGAGAGTAAATAAGTAGGAGATGATAGGAATATGTACAACATACATCCTTCTGTCTGTATCCAAGTGTTCCTGCACTGCTTAATATAAGGCAGTTGCTTCCCTTCAATTTTCTATGCACTGGTGCATTGTGTGGGATAATCAGAAAAACCTAAACTTTGGAATTGGGTCTGGGTATCCATTCCATTCAAATATTGAATTCATGTCATATTTGGTTGACTTAGCATGAGTTGGTATGTGTTTTATGTTATCAAAGCTCACATATAGGCTTTATCCTTTAGAACCAAGTTGCTTGAACTGATGCACTTGCTGTGGGTTGGAGTGAGATGTGGAATGTGAAGACTTACACGTGATGTAAATTGCATTTATAACCATTTCAGTTAGTTTCCTTGACTACTTGGGATGAATGCTAGTGCCTTGTTTCTGGAATTAGGATGTCTCTTAGTTGCGAATTTCTGGTGGTGTTGTGGGAAAGTAACTGTTTGTATGTGCTGCTTTCTGTGATGCTCCCTTGTACACCAATGATATGTTTGTCTTGGAAAACTAATCAATATGGCCCTGTGTGTCTTACTTGATTAATTAATATGGATCTGTTTCCCCCCTCTAGTATTTATTCTTTGTTATGGTTTTAGCCTTTCTTTTTTATCCATATATCCTATTTTATTGTCCAATATTCATCTTTTATCCATTAATATCTACAATGCTGGCCTCGTAATCTGAGTAGAGCAGGGGTACAGTGTTGTGCTACCGGAGAAATTGCAGACTGGGAAGTGGGATGTTTACAGGTTAGCATTATCTGTTTAGTTTCATAGTTCTACCTAGGACTGAGTCTGTCTTTGAGATACCACTCTTTAATTGCAGATCTGCACGCTCTCCTTTGAAGCTTGTGAGTAGATTCCCTGATCATCCTGAAATTGGCACCTTGCATGATAATTTTGTGTGAGCATCACTGACTTGCTTGGTTGAATTCAGTACTCCATTCCGTACTGATGCTATTTTCACTCTTGTCTTTGAATGAATTTCGTTAAACAAGAATTCACCAAGTTGTTTGCTCTAATTTTATGAGCTTAGGCACTCTGTTGAGACTTATCAAGACTACAAATATTTGGGTTCACGCATTCGGGTGGATGGAACTGTTGGAGAGTACGTTTGCTGTTGAAGTTAAGCTTACAATTTGTTTTGAAGTTCCTTTATCACTTTGTATACATTGGTGCAGGTACAAATGGATGACGTATGGAGAAGCAGGTACTGCTCGATTAGCAATTGGTTCTGGTCTTGTGTATCATGGGATATCAAAGGCAGGTTACTTGAAACATTAATTCTTGGTTTGATGGTTGTTGTCTACTTGTTGGGTTTTGGCATCCTTTCCTATAAATGTCTCTGTTGTTTTTTTTTTTAAAAAAAAAAATACAATTTGAAGTTCCCGGATCCTTATTCACTATACTCCTGAGAATTTCATTTGTTTAATTTTACAACAGGGATCTTGTGTTGGGCTATATTTTATCAACAGACCAGAGTGGTTGATAGTCGATCATGCCTGCTCTGCATATTCATACTTATCGGTTCCTCTATATGATACACTTGGTTCGTCATGACTTGTCGAGTAGAACTTTTAGTTGGATCTTTAGTTGAAAACTACTGCCCACACGAATTTATTGATTTGATTTGCAGGTCCAGATGCTGTCAAGTACATTGTAAATCATGCTGTTGTAGAAGCTATATTTTGTATGCCACAAACATTGAATGTTGTGAGTTTACTACCCATGCTTGTAAAAAGTTGACATCAAGGACTACTTAGTTCGACTTCACAGTTTGTGTCTTGTCTTCACTCTTCATGTTTCAGTTGCTGAGCTTCTTGTCTGAGATTCCTTGTGTACGTCTAATAGTGGTATGACTTTCATACCCTGGCTTTTGTACCATAATCTAAATCGGAGCATGTTGTTAAGTCACCGGTTTTCCTTGATATATACATTTCATCAACTTGATTGTTGCTCAGGTGGTCGGGGGGATAGAAGATCGAATGCCATCGCTTCCACCCACATCAGGAGTAGAGGTTATATCATATTCAAAGCTACTTGGTCAGGTGATTGCGGGTTCTCTTTAGGAAACATTACTTTCTACATTATGTCTTTCTTTATTGAAAGAAAAGTAACATTCATACAGTTGCGTACAAAAAAAAATGATCATTTAGAATTGTTTTATAGGTCAAGCTCTCTTGTGGACACAACCATACTATTTTTTTGCATGTTTGCTAATTTACTCTTGTAATTTGGAAAAAAATCTATCACTCTTATTAAATTGGCATCTTGAGCTTATTGTATGTTGATCTCACTTTCAGAAATTTGTGATTGTTACTGTAAGACTACATGTAAGGCCAGGGGTGGAGCCAGAGTCCATTTTTAGTGGGGGCAATCATCAAGTTGAGGGGAACGATCGAAGAACAATCATCAAAATTTGTTGTGTTTTGCAAATATGAGTGTTTTTCAATTTACACTATTTATAAAGTAATTCTTTATAATAATTTTTTGTTTTGCTACTTTAAAATTTTTAATGCATAACTTACACGGAAAAAACAAATAGAACCTAATGAAGAAAAGTTATATGAAATTTATTTTATAGAAAATATTATAATATTAGAATAATTTTCATAGAAAATATTTTTTTGACAAATCATTCTATAAACAAACTATAAGTAGACATGACAATCATCAAATTTTAAGTGATTCGAATCCAAGTTCGATTTGAAAACTCCATTTTGAATATGATTTGATTATCCACCAAATTTTGCCTTTACAATTCATATCAATATCTATATCCATTAAATATTAAAATTTTTATCAAAAACTAAATCTTATATATACACGTGTGTGCATGTGTTTTTGTCACAATTAGGTCAAATTTTGGTATATCTAAATTTAAATTCTTGAAATATAATAGTATATTTGAACTTAAATAATCAATTAAACATATCAATTCATATCTAGATAATCGAATTTAGAGGAGGATAAGTTTTTAGTGCGCGTCATTGTAAAAAGAGGAGAAATAGTTAGAATAAAGAAAGAGTTGTGAGATTTAATCTGATGAATTTAAAAAAAATTCAGAGAGGGCAAATATTGAAAATTTTTAATTTTTTTATAATTTTAAACTTGCTCCCACCCTCCCTCCACTCTTGTGTAATAGTGTAAGGTTCTTAAACGAATTGAACTTCTCGGGCTCGACTTCTTTTGGACTCGCTCCAATTCGTTCAAGCTCGCTCTTTTTGTATTACAATCTCAATTTGAACAAATTTTTAAGCTCATTTTTATCTAAGCCAAGAGAACTTGAAATGAACCTAGTATTAGATTTGTCTCATTCATGTATTAATTATTTTTGGTATACACATTATAGCTCCACATAAAAATAGTGAGGTTTTTAAGGGATATTTTTGAAAAAATAGACAAACTTACCACTCAAATTTTGTACAGGCTTCATGTAGGGTCTCTCTCTCCAATTAATATCTTTGAGCCCCTAACCCATTTCTTTCCTAACCCACATTATCCTCTTATTTTAGTCAGCCCCCCTCTTTGTGTCCATTTCTTCTTCTCCCTCAACCTTCTCTGCCTCTCATTCTCCAGTGAATTAACCACCAGCGCCCCCGACCCACCACTCCTCCCACCATTCTCAACCCAAGCCCTAAGGCAAATCATCAATACCCAACCCCACTAAGTTGGTATTAAAACAAGAATGATTATTTGACATCAAGGGTTGTCCCAAGGTGCATATGTATATGTTTTTATAATTAGTTTGTCAATTTTGTCATGATTTCGAATTTTTTTGAGACTAGAGTTTGTATTTCGATTCAGATTTTTGTAAAAATATATGTGAAATTTATGGTTTTGGGTTTTTTTTCTTGAACTAGTGGTTAAGAACTTGAAATTTGAAAATTTGTGGTTTATAATTTGGGGATTTATTTTAGGAGCTCACTTTTGACTCAGGCTCTGGTCGAGCTTATACCAAGCCGAGCTTGAGCAATAATTTAGGCTCGGTCTCCAAGCCCAAGCTAAGCTTGAACACCCCTAAAACAAACTTGAGCCGAGCTTGAGCAAACCGAAGCTTGGAATGTTCAGCTCAATTAACACCCCTAACTACACCATTGTGGAGTCTGAAAATAGTCATTCCAATTTCCAAGTTCATGTCCACCATGTGCGTTCTTCTATCTCTCCAATCTTTTGAACATGATGTCCTCATGATAATATTCTTTTATCTCATGTTTTCCTTCAAGTAAGTTGGCTATATATCTCCAAAATTGTTCTTTCATGTGTTTGACTAGTCCTATTTGGAATCCAATTTGGCACAATTTTTTTTGAACATATATTCCTTACTTACAGCGGTGACTTTTGAACTATCATCAGCTACTCCTTCTATTCTATGTACGTGCTTAAATTTTCTGGCATGGAATAGATTATATTCTTTATTTCTATGATTCTTCTGGTGAACTAGGTGTGTCCTAATCTGTTTGTTGGACAGTCTTCTTGAGGTGGCAACTGCAAATTTATCTGACTTCGCCCCTCTGCCTCTTGGCATTTATCTGAGTGCCTTTTTTGTGCTCTCATTAATGCTTAACACGAGTTTCTTTCATATTCGTATGAACACTTCTGCTGCCATTTTTTCTTATTGTCTGTGTTTCATAATCATCTGTTTCATATTTATAGATTGTTTTCTTTCAGGGCCAGAATAACATTCAGCCTTTTTGCCCGCCAAAACCTAATGATGTTGCCACAATATGCTATACAAGTGGTACAACTGGGACACCTAAAGTAATTTCCATGAGCTTGCCTCAACTCTATTTACTGTTTCTTAACTGCCTATGGCAAAGAGTGAAGTTTGTTCCTTCTGTTATCATGGCAAGGGAGTTGTATTGAGCCATGGAAACTTGATTGCAAATGTTGCTGGTTCATCTCTTGGTGTCAAATTCTATCCTTCAGATGTGTGAGTATCAGTAATTTTATGCATGCCAAACTCCACAACTATTATTTCTGCATTATGTTATTATTTGTACTGCATATTGAGGTTTTTTTTGATATCCTGTTTTTCTTTTTCGCAGTTACATATCATATCTTCCTTTGGCACATATATATGAACGTGCTAACCAGGTCCTGCTGGCATATTATGGTGGTGCAGTTGGATTTTACCAGGGAGTATGAGGCTGAGCTTTGTCCTTTCTTAATTCCAGTCTGTAGAAAAGGCTATTTGATTCTTGCAGTTTGATCCAAAAATTAGATGTGCTCTATAAACTTTATGAGATAATTGGAATGAGTTCAACCGCACAATGGAAGCATGATTTACTATAACATCTAGCCATAGAGCTCTACGGCCACATGCCCTCAAAGGTTTGTTTTTATTGAATTGACTTGAGAGTCAAGTTTGTGACAAGAAAAAGTAACAGCAGTCTTGACATATGATAATGATCTGGAATGATTTAAAATGTTTTGGAAACTGGCAACATAGTTGTCAAATGGGGTTTCATAGTTTTTAGACATAGCATAAAGTAATTACTTCTTTTACAGTCATAGCCAGAGGGAAGAAAAACATCCATTATATTCAAGAGCTCATGCAAAAGGTCGATGCAATCCTCCATTGCCCTTTTCTGATGGTCTAAAATTAAAATGTCTTCTGGGCAAAATTCTGCTCATTCCCTGTGATGATATGAATCTAAAGTTTTCCTTTCAAAATTGGCAAAAAGTTGAACTGAGAGTATACTACATTTAACGTGGCAAAACGTGTACCATTTTCCAGGTAGTATGTGGTATCCGATTGTTCTTGATTGGTATTTATTATTTATTGCTACTTAACTCCGATATATGTCCTGATCATGTAGGGGAATCTGTGAAATAAAAAATAACTCTCAAGGGACCTATTTCATCTGTAATATTACTAAGAAACGGGAAAAGTTGGAGTTGACAATAATTTTTAATCTTTCAGCAATGAGTTAGGAATAGTTTTCAGTTTAATGTTTGTGTCATCCTAAAATGTAAGTTATGTGCCTAGGTGTTATATTGAGGAAAGAAGGGTGAAAGGGTTGTTGGCATAAGATATGGATTGTTTGCTTCGGTCATAAAGTACTGTTTATGAAAATTTGTAATTGAGCCTAATGTCCTCTTATTGATCCTTTCTTTCCAGGACAATTTGAAATTAATGGATGATATGGCTGCTCTTAGACCCACTGTATTCAGCAGTGTTCCTCGGTTGTACAATAGAATATATGCTGGGTAAGTTCATTGTCTTGTGATGTTCAGTTTATTCATCAAGTGCAATTCCTATGGTTGTTCTACAACTCAGTCAAATGCTTTGGTTGTTGCAGCATTACTAATGCTGTAAAAACATCTGGTGTTCTGAGGGAGAGGCTATTCAATGCTGCCTACAATGCTAAGAAACAAGCAATTCTGAATGGTGAAGTAACTGATAAACTATTTCTTTTGTGATTTAGCAGACTAGGGTTCTTTGCATCCTAGATTTTCAGTAGGGCCCATACCACCTTATAAAAAGTTTCCTTGGCCCTTGAACACAATTATATTTTAAGTAGCTATGACTTCTTTTAGGTGTTATTCAAATCATATCAAGTGAAAGGAGACCCTGGTGCTCTCATGGGATGATGTTTTGGTGTTCTCAGTCTATCTACATTGTAAACCGAACTCAACTTGTTTTGATATTCGCAGCCTATAAACATCATAAACTGAACTCTACTCAACCAGATCTTCTCCCAATTAATTTTGGGGTCAGCTATATGAATCTTGTTCTCCCACCATGCTCTATTAAGAGTCATATTTTGTGCTAAACTACGAATTGTTATTTCCTTTTTTACTGTCTCATTTAGTGATAATTTTGGTCTACACCTAGTTCTCGTATTACTTTTGATAGGTATCTCATAAATCTTTTTATGTGTAATAATAGCTCTTTTGTAAATGTGCCTAAACCAACTAAACCGGTTTTATTTCTACTATTTCATGAATGCATTAATGCACATCTATCTTAACATACTTGTTCTCACCACACTTAATTTTTGGTCACACTATTTGTTACCTGTCCAACTCTAAGTATCATAATTTATTGCTGGTCTAATAATTGTCTTGTAGAACTCGTCTTTCAACTTTAAAGGCATTCCTCGATCACATAATGTCCCTGATGCAATCCACTACTTAGTTCAACTTGATTTAGTTATATGGTTAACGGCCTCTTTGACGTTTCGTTAACGAAAGGTCATGCAGAGATCTTTATCTCTAAGTGTATAGAATAAGAATACTCTGAATTCACAACAAGAGAATAACTTTGAAAAAAAGATATTATTGACTTAATTGAATAGAACTCGTAGTACATAGGGTAATTTATATGATTTCCCAAACCTGTAACAGTTTTCAAAACTGACCAAAATCTCTAGTCTTAGGAAAGTTACTAAAAAAAATAAAACACATATCTTATGAATTAAGAAAATTGACATGGTTTAGTGTATGAAATAGCAGTCAATCTCAATATGTTTAGTATGAGAAACCAAATTGTGTGCAATATGAATCGCACTTTTATTATCACAATAGATAGGAGTAGGAATACATTACGTAAAGCCTTTATCGACAAACAACCATCTCAACCAAACTATCTCTAAGGTAGTAATAGCCACTACATGATATTCAACTTTTGCAGTAGAACAATACTTGATTTTCTCGGAAATAAGAGAATCGCCCTTGAAAAAAAAGAAATCAATTGATTATCTATTGCATAATGTTCCAAAAAAACAACCAAATTTTGTGTTAGGTGCCTCGAAGATAATGCAAATTGCGAAGAATTTTAGCCCAGTAAACTTTAGTTGGAGAAAAGATAAACTAAGTCACAAGACTCGCAACATTAACATAATGGTCAATATCTGATTGCGAGACAATAAAAAAAGACAAATTATCAACAAGAACCTGGTAAAAAGTAGGATTAACCAAAGGAACATTGGCCGTAGATGCTTAATTCACTTTAAGTTGAAGAGGTGTCTCAAATCAATGTCTTGAGAATTTGTTACTTGGTTCATATGGATAACATTGGTTGCATACTTTGACTTAGAAAGAAGATAACTCTTAGAGACGAAATCACTTCAATGCCTAAAAAAAAATCGAAGAGTGCCAAGATTGTTCGTCTCAAACTTTTGTTGTAACTAGGACTTCAAGGCCGAAATGCTCGTAGAATATTCCCAATAATAATCATATCATCAACATATAAAAGAAGAACTATTTGACTAGTAGAAGTAGAACAAATAAAAAAACTAAATCACGGTCATTGCAACAAAAGCCCTAGTTATAGATCTCAGTAGAGAATTTATCAAATCAAGTCGAGGCGCTTGTTTGAGACCATATAAAGATTTTTGAAAAGTTGGCATACCTCACCTAGAGTGTAGGGGTGACCATGAGGAGTAATTACAAAAGATTTCTTCTATCAAATCACCGTTTTGAAAAGAATTTTTGATATCTATTTAACCGTATGCAATCAAATCTTTTTAGGAACCATAATGATGTAGATCGTATTAGGGAAGAATTAGGGATGAGAAGGGAAGAAGAAAGAGATGAGAAAAGAAAAAAAGGAGATGAGAATAGAGAGAATTTTAGAAAGAAGATTTAATATCAATAATCAATTAAAGTCTAGTCTTTCAACAATATGTATCCCCTATATATATAAGGAATTCACAAATCCTATATATATAAGGAAATCACAAACCCTAAAATAAATAAATAATCAAAATGACAACTAAACCCTTAAAAGTTAAAAAAAATTACTTAAAAGCTAAATATTAAAAGTATCTAAATAACTATCATAATTAATCTATAATATCTATCCAATTCCTACACGATCCCCATCATTCTCCTCCGGTTGAAAAAAACTCTCATTCGGAGAGTCTTCAAAGTAGAAGTACCCCAAGAGAGAAGGATGAAGATGACATAATGTCTCATCTAGAATGAAAGAACCATCGACTTCTTTCCATCGACCAGGATAAATGCAAAAATCTCCATCTGTATGAACACCTGCGAATAAAATAGGAGGCTCTGGAGTACCTCAATTAAGCAGCATGTCCTCCCAATAAAAATTGGACTAATACTAACATTCAATGGAAAATTAAGCAAATAAGTATTAGATCCAAACTTAAGAATAGTAAAACAATTTCAATTAGATTTGAACAACTGGCATTCAACGGGACAAGACATCAATGACAAAGGAGTAATTATAACACCCTGATGCTACAAATAAGAAAGTACATATTCAATTGAACACTTTACAGTAGACAAAGAATCAAAGTTAACAATCTCAAGTGGGGCAAAATCTAGAACAATGTCAATAATCTCTGGTGGAGATGAATCTGAAACAAAATCAACAATCTCAAATGAAGAAGAATCTACAACGATGCCATCATGATTCAGAATAGTAGACATAGAATAATTGTCAACAGATTGTAAAATAGATACCTCAATATGCTCAACATCTTGCATAAGAACTAACTGAATGAATTTTTTCTCAAGTTCAATGTTTAGTGATGATTTAACTTTTGGCACCGATGAGGTAGGAAACATGATGGGATCAAAAATAATCTCATCACTAGTATCAATGCTCAAATGATTGAAAGTATGTTTTGAAGGACGTAAAGCATGAGATCCAATGGAACAAAAATATGGCTATCATTATGCAGGTGACCGACATTAGGTGAAACTGGAGACTTGTCCTTATTTTCTTCCATATGCTGACTTGCAAGAATTTTATTCAAGTGGAAAAGTTGACTTGTTAATTCAGATAATTAGTTTTTCACCCCCTCTACATTCTTCACGTAATTGGCTGAGTGAATGTTTAGTATTGGCAATTTCAATTTCAAATATCTCAACCTTTTTTCCTAGGACAGTTTGGGCTTTTGAATGACCACTAATAACATTGAAGATTGATCTAGATTGACCTTGATGACGACTTTGGGAAGCATGACGTTGGTACCTATTATGTGATCTAAGTGTCCCAGAGTAGTATTGTAGATAATCTTTATAATAAAACTCAAATTTATTATGGACTTTATGATGACTCTGAGAAGCTCTAGGAGTGGAATAGGTATAGTGATGACGTTGTGGAGAACTATAAACTTGAGACATTCTTGATGTTGGATAAGTATATGAATAGGCATCATAATGATCATATGAATCATGATTGACTTTGAAAGATGAAAATAACATAAGAATGAGTTCAAGGGTGCAATTAATAATTACGAGAAGTGAGAAAACTTAAATAGAAGAAAATATGTTTTGGATCTTTTGCAAATTCTCTAATTTTTCAATGAATAAAAATATTAGTCTCAAAATTCATGGGAGTATGCATACCATAATCAAGAAGAAATTCTGAAACTTTTGGGGATGATTTTGCAATTTTTGGAACTTCTGGGGAAAGATTCTGCAATTTCTATAACTTCTGGATTGATGTTTTTATAATTCTGAAATTTTTTGTGGTAGTTCTATAACTTTTAAAATTTTTTGGGGTGTTTCTATAATTTCTAGAACAGCTAGGATATTGCTGCAATTTTCTGAAGCTGTTGGACAGTTCTTTTTTTTTTTTGGTTGGTTCTGGAATTTTTTTTTCTTATGGTGATGAACAGTGCCACACGTGAACAGTGATTTCGGATGAACAGTGCACGTACGAACAGTATTTTCGGGATGAACCTTGCACGTGTGAACAGTGAACATTAATTTTTTTTTTTTTTTTTGGATACGAATCGAAGTGGGGCTTTGATACCAAATTGATGTAGATCGTATTAGGGAAGAATTAGGGATGAGAAAGGAAGAAAAAAGGGATGAAAAAAAGAAGAAGAAGGAGATGGGAATAGAGAGAATTTTAGAAAGAAGATTCAATATCAATAATCAATCAAAGTCTAGTCCCTCAATAAATATGTATCCCCTATATATATAAGGAATTCACAAATTCTATATATATAAGGAGATCACAAACCATAAAATAAATAAATAATCAAAATGACAACTAAACCCTTAAAAGTTAAAAGAAATTACTTAAAAGCTAAATATTAAAAATATCTAAATAACTATCATAATTAATCTATAATATCTATCCAATTCCTACACGATTCCCATCACATAACCTTCTTTTTTTATCGTAGTGTGCCTTTAGGTAAACTGATCCAAAAGGCAAGCATATTATATATTTGGACAGCTAAAAGCTGGAATTTATTTTGTCATGTGCTTCTTGAACTTTGAAGTGCGAGCTTTAGCAGTTTTTTCCTCTTAGTTTACCAATAGGCAGTTTATGCTAAGCCTTACCTTTAATGGAACATGACGGTTTGAACCTTATTGGCCGTTCAGAACTATTGAGTTTAAATTGACGTTAGTAAAGTCTCTAGAATCCACTATATGCAAAATATCTGTATGAAAGAAAAAAAATATATTTTTCTTTGCAATTCAGTCCTGGATATATATGATATTTCTTTGTTCAAAGATGGGGATATGTATTTGCATAAAAACACAACATAGGAAGTGGTGACTTCAAAATTAAAAATTATTTGCCCAAATCAGTATATGATCTACCAATTCCTACTTATGCAAATACTGGATTTCACAGTACTAAGAATTTTCAACTAGATAAAACTGTTTTTTTGGTGACTGCTCATTGTCAGTAACTCTCTTGTAGTTCTGGACACTTGTGGACTCAATACTTGGTGTAAATTTTTGTTTCATCCTCATGCGGGAAGAAACTAGTTACCTCTATGTGCTCGTGAGTTGTGACTGAAATTTCAAACCTGATTTTACTCTCCTTTTTACTATCCCTTTGTTGCATTCTTTGGATATGCATTCTTTCCAAAAGAAAGAAAACACATACTATTTCTGATATTTGTAGCTTCTGTTCTTTTTCAGGCAAGAACCCATCTCCTATGTGGGACACACTAGTGTTCAATAAAATAAAGGACAAGCTTGGAGGACGAGTTCGTTATATGACTTCAGGTGCCTCACCTTTGTCTCCGGACGTCTTGGACTTTCTAAGGGTGTAAGTTGGTTGGATTTACTGGCCTAGATTCCCGTCTCTGATGATACTATAACTTCTGGTACATGATCATTATGTTTTCATGCTGAGAAGTGTTGATTGCTTCACAGTTGCTTTGGCTGTAAAATTGTGGAAGGATATGGAATGACTGAGAGTTCTTGTGTTATAACTGCTATGGATGAGGGTGATAACTCATCTGGTCATGTGGGCTCTCCTAATCCTGCCTGTGGTGAGTCATTGACGTGTATTATGAGAAAACTTGTTTTATACTGATTGTTAGCTTCGTGTAAAATTGATGACTTGCACCATTTGTTTCTGTCCACCAAATGCAGTTGGCACTTTATAAATGGGAATTTCTTTTCATAAATCACCAACTTTTCTGACATTTACAATGCTAACTGCTTGTTAAAGTTTTTCGATGTCTGAACCAATGAAGTGACATTTACAACGCTAACTGCATTTCTCCGGCTTGTGATTACTTGTTGAAAAGGCTTGCGTAAAATAAAGATGTGGGGGTCAGTTCAAAGCTTAAATTTAACATCTGTACAAGCCTAAGATACTTACTCTTTTATTGTCTTCTTTCTTCTTTCTTGTTTATTTTACTTGTTTTGGTTCTGGGTCAGTCATATACTACTGTTACACCTATAATATACCTCTTTGTCCACCTCATATTTTCATTCAAACCAATGGTTTTAGAAGAGCAGTGTAGTATTTATTAAGTACAATATACAAATGGTGATGTCCAGTGGAATGGTAAACTGCTTGGGGTATCACAATTGTTGAGGTTGTGAGTCCGCATGCGAGGAAGGTCACTTTTTGCAAATAATACCAAGATTAGTTTTGTGCCCATTAAGGTCCTACCTGCCACGGCAGGTAGCTGCTTTTTTGAGTCACTGAATAATGCGTGTGGAAGGTCTTCTCATGCAACTAATGTTTGAGGTGGTTAAAAGGCGGTAAAAGTGGCTTCTTAGTTCTTACTCTCTTTATAATTTTTGTTGCACTTAATATTCTACTAAACTCATGTTTTCTCCACATTGTTTCAGAGGTAAAGCTTGTGGATGTCCCGGAAATGAATTATACATCTGAGGATCAGCCGTATCCACGTGGCGAGATCTGTTTGAGGGGCCCCATTGTATTCAAAGGTTACTATAACGATGAAGTGCAGACGTACGTTACTGTTTTGCTGGTCTTCTTAAGTGTGAGTGTGTGTGTGTGTGTGTAAACTATTGAAGATGTGGTTTAACTGGTCAGGAGAGAAGTACTTGATCAAGATGGATGGCTTCATACAGGAGACATTGGGTTGTGGATACCTGGAGGTCGCTTGAAGATAATTGACAGGTGCGAACATCATATTATTGGACCTTGGTCATATAACTTGAAGGGTTTGATAATTGCTATGCTTTAGTCTGAATATAGCAAGGCAGAGGCATGTGTTTGTGTTTGAGTTTGTTCTTTATGTAAAATATTGAAACTAAAATCTCATCCTAAACTTGCCAACTGTACTAGTGTTACATCATCGTTGGCTCCATAGCCAAAGTTTTACTTCGGAAATTTTCTTCAACACTGTCAACCTAATTGGAGTTGATATGAATATTTGTTTTTCACATGGGCACAAAAGATGAGTAGTTCTGTGTTTTTTTTAAAACTTTAGTGGACTAAAGACATCACCAACATGGAGCAATTCTTGCATTCATGCTTATGTTATATGCAAATCAGAGAAACTAAAAATGCTATTATCTGAAATTGCAAATTGGTCTGGTGTGACATAATCACTGGCCCTAGGAACATAGTTTGGTAAATTTTTTTGGTGTTGATATAAAATTGTTTATTGTGCGTAATTTTGTTCATTCATTACTTAAAGTGATACACCTCATGTAAGCTTAAGTTCCTTGTTACTTCTCTCTCTCTCTCTCACACAGGTGCACACACACACACACACAGAGTAGGGGGTTTGTCTTGAATAATAGTCGAACCGTTCCCAGAACTCTTTTAAAATAGAGAACGAAACATATTTATGATATTGCTGGGTTGTGCTGGACAATTGTGATCATTATAATTTGCATGCATATGGCCTTCACAATTGAATACTATAAGATTTTGTCTCCTTGTGACATTGTCCCCCTATTTAGGCCACAGGTTGGATTAATAAATGATTCTGCTAGGAATTTCTGTGGGAAAAGTTTCGTGTCATTTCTTGCTAAGCTCCATGGGAGCATCCTAACTTTATCATTAGTCTCTCTCTCTCTCTCTCTCTCATCTTATTTATTCACAGGTTTGCTGAGTGTGTCTTTAACATTCCCACTAAATGTCTTGTTTTACCATGGCAGGAAGAAGAACATTTTCAAATTAGCACAGGGAGAGTACATAGCTCCTGAGAAAATTGAGAATGTATATGCTAAATGCAAGTTTATTGCACAATGCTTTGTATATGGTAAGCAAATGAGGTTTTACAATAATCTGTTTCCATCTTGCTTCCCTCTGTATGTACATGTGTGTGAGTAGCTGTGCTCTTGTTTTGCTGGTAGGTGATAGCTTCAACTCTTCTTTGGTTGCTGTAGTCTCAGTGGACCAGGATATGTTGCGAGAATGGGCAGCAGCCGAGGGCATCAAGGTAGTCTCAATTTTATGTTTAACACTTGATGAATTTGGGTTCCTGTATATGCAAATTCCTTGTCTTCTGAGTACAAATTGCAGAAATATTCACTTTTTTAAGATAAAAGGATTTTCCTATCTGCTCGTCATTTCAAAAAAATCTGCAAGTAAGAGATTTTCAATGTCAAGAAGATGCAATTGTTCATCAAAAAGCAAGTGTAGTTTCAGTCAGGAAATTTCTGGCAAAAATCCAAATTTTGCTGAAAAATACGATGAGGAGGTAGAATGCTCGAAGTTCCCAACTTCTTCTCATGAAGCTGATGACCTTTTTTTCTATGTTTGTTGCTATCTCTGGACTTGTGTGAACATACTGTCGTAACAAGTCACAAAGTGCTCTTGGCATGCATTTGTTTATTGAAGTAACACGCATTACTTGTGCACATGGATCTATTCCACCATTTTTCATATGGTTCTATTGTCATGCATGAATGCAGTATGACGATTTAGGACAACTATGCAATGACCCAAGAGCAAGGGCTGCTGTCCTGGCTGACATGGATGCTGTTGGACGAGAAGCTAAGGTTCTCTCTGATTTCTGCCAAATCACAATGCTGTCCTTTTGCAGTAATAATATGTTCTTGTAATCTGTTTCCTCATACAAATTAAACATATCGACATTGCAGCTGAGAGGTTTTGAATTTGCAAAAGCCGTGACTTTGGTGCTTGAGCCATTCTCCGAGCAGAATGGTCTTCTCACTCCAACATTCAAGGCAAGTATCAATTTTTTTATCAAAAGCAAGAAAGCATTGATAAACCTGAAATTGGTTTTCCACTTTGTTATCTTCTTGTTTCAGATCAAAAGACCTCAAGCAAAAGCATACTTTGCTGAAGCAATAGCCAAGATGTATACAGAAGTTTCAAAGTCTGATCCTGCTCCCAAGAAAAATTGATGATTTTAGAGGAGAGGGGAGAGAATGGAGACTCAAATTCAGGAAATACTGTTTTGAGGCTTCAAGCAGACTACTGCTCAAAATATTCGAGGATCTCTTCATGTGTTGTAGCATCTGATAATATTGTACTTTTGCTTATTAGATTTTCCAAAAGAAAAAAGAATGTATTGGGATATCAACAGTCGATTCATCTTAGGTCTCTCAGTTCATCAAAACTTTACCCTGATTTATTTTATCAATAAAAATCATGTTACACTATTAACACAATGCCATTGATATTTACGATCGCAAAGGTCATTATGTTGAGGGTACAATATGGAAAATTTAATTTTTGAAGGTATAAAGTGAAAATTCTAAATTTTTTAGGTTACAAAGTGAATTTGTCCTAAATAAAGCCTAAACTAGGATTTTGTTGGATGTGATCAATCTGTACTAGATGTTTACAAAAAGGGAACCACGTGTTACAAAAATGATCTGATTGGGACCTTGCTTATAACATGGGCAAATTTGGTGGATTGGTTATTTAGGTGCACAGATGCATAATGTGCAAAATTTTATTATTTTTTATTGTGTTACATTATGTGCTCTTCTCTTGTGCTCACAATAACCGTGATTTGAATTAGATTAGAAAATGTCTCTAAGTAATAAGAGTGATCGATCGAAAAGGGATTGAAACTATGACCTCTAAATTACTAAAGATTAGATTCAATCTTAAAGAATATGAAAAAAACTTGAAACTATGACTTCTAACGACGATATTCAATCATTAAATCATCACATTAAATCATTAAATCATCATTAAGAGGTAGGTTCAATTTTATTGTGAAGTACTTTTTGTCCATGAAGACTCCAGACAATGGTCTGACTAATGAGCAAAACTGCAGAAAAAAATATTAAGAAAATATAGAAATGTTTCAGAGGTTATTGGGTGGTGCAATGATAAAAGTGTAGGGGTAATAATTGTGAGGTGGTGAAGTTATGAGGGCATTTGATTTGTACAAATAATTTCAATATTGAGTCCCATTATCCATATTATTCTCAATTAACAGACACTAAATTGGAAGAAATTCTTATTTCACCCCTTAAAGAAGGACAGGTAAGACTTTTTTTTTTTTTTTTTTATGATCAATGGTAAAAAATGTCTAGGTCAATTTATGCACACTTCAATTAATCTTTTCTCCCGTTTATTTAAAAGCAAGTCATTTACGTCTAAAATAAAATATTCGTAAAAGATAAATTTCTCATAAATTGTCAAAATTCAAACTTAGGATACATAAGTATACAATTTGTTTATGTTACCACTAAAATTAACTTGTGTTAGTCTCTGTCATGTTCAAGCATGCCTGACACGTAACAATGGCACACCTTCCATGGTCTGGACAGGAGTCAATGGTCTCTCCAATGCCAATGGCCCCAACGCATGTATTCTCACTTTCCCATAGTGCCTTCAATGATTGGCGCACAACAAACTCCTCCACTTTGAAAAATTCTCTCATTCTCCAAACTCAATTACACATGTTATACACAATGACCAGACCATCAACTCCCATGGATTAAAATCTACATGAATGCTAGTTGAAAATTGTGTGTTGACAGAGATTAGAGTTTCAAGCGTAAACATTGATGGGTACTAAATGCCGAGGTTGCATTTGTTCTGGGTCTTAATTCAACAACCTAAATACTAAGATTTGCCTTTATTGTGGGTCTTAATTCAACTGTTTATAACTTTATTGTGTGAATTGACGACAACCACACAATACTTATTTCTATGTTCTCGAAGATACCTACATAAAGTTCTAGGTTTGGTACTAAAGGTGATCCACAACGGCATTCCTCCAATGGACACATAACAACAGGATCCATTACTGCTCAACGACAGCCATGTTTAGTGGCTTCCAAGAGTGAATCCACCCACAATCTTTCTATTTTAAAACCTCATATATTCTGGGAGTAATATTAAGGAGTGAAATTATTTTTTTTTTTGGGGTATGACGGTTAGGGATATTTATCGATTTCTCTCGTTTGGTTAAAACCAGATTACCCATGCCGAGATTAAAAAATTCATGAGAAAAAAATCTTTCATAGTCTGAACTTAATGGAGTTGTCAAGTTTTAACTCAACATACTCGTACCAAGATAATTCAACATAATATCAATCCTTTTGTTTAATGGATTGATCATTGACTCTCATTAGCTCTATGCACTTATTCAATTGGATAAGAAATGACATTTTAGGAGTATGATATCTTTAAATATATATTTTTGTTATTTTTTATTAGACTATCATCTAATTTTGAATTTAAGTGAGATTTATTATATATACATATAGGCCTGTCACTAATTTATTTTGGTAATCGACCAAAGAAAAAATAGAAAGAAAAAGTATTAACAGGGTTTGTACCCAAAGTTCCAAAAAGCAATATAATTAGACCTAAAATATTAACATCATTCGTTGATTTTATTAGTCACTACCAAAAATAATAGCATCAAATAATCATAGAGTATCCCATCAACTTCATCGCAGAAAGGTTCAAAGATCAAGGTCTTATCCCCTAACCTAGACTAGGAAAGTCATTCAGCTCATGTAAGGGAGGGGGGGTCATTCAACCCAATTCTAAGGCAGGATATTAGAGCGAGCTCATCCTCAGAGAAAAGAATTAGGTCATCCTACCAACATAATATGACAAAGAGCCCTATTGTATCCAAGCATGGAGGAAGAAACCGGAAGTCACCAAGTTCTAGAATGTCACGTTGCATGTAAGAAATATTGTATCTAATAGCCAAATATTTTCCTAATATATTATAATAACTTGGGGACTACGTGAGTACCACCTTGTATAACTTGAGACTCACGTACACACATTGGTCATCCATGATTTACTACACATTGGTTATCCATGATTTACTATTTATAAGCCTTGAGACTCACGTTTTGAGTTTACAAATCATCAACTGGATTGAAAACTTCTCTATTACTTTTTTATACAATTTTATTTAATGATAAATTACCCCCCTTATATTTATTTGAAATCTATTATTTATATGTGGACCTTTCATTTATATAAGATGGGTAATTCTTTATTGAGTGAAATTGTGTAAAAAAATAATGAGAAAATCTAGATCTCATCAACTATCATTGATTTAACTGAGTCATAATATTTTTTTAAAATTTACTATAAATTCAATAATTGTAATTGAGAAACATTTTGTATACAAATAACATTTTGTAATTTCAAAGGATGGGCAGATAAAAAAAAAAAAAGAAAATCAAAGGATGAGTGAAAATAAAGATTTAGCCGTTCATCAGCACAGCCTAAAACCATACCCACCGAGGTACATCTACAGCCCTGTTGTACCGAATAAAAGCTTACTTAATCACGTCATTTTCGTTACAAAGCAAATGGAAATCTGAGTTCAATATTTAACGAAAGCTCCAAGAAAGTAAATGAGAGAGAAAAGCTACAGAGAGAAAGAGAAACAGTCATTTACGAATCTAAGCTACAGTCAATCCATTTCACCTCTCTCTCTCTCTCTCACACACACACACGCAATTCATTCGATCTCTGATCTGTATTTTATAGCAATCTCAGAGGTTGAATTCCTCAAATTTGACGGAAAGAGAATCTTCAGAATTCTAGTCGAGGTCATGAAATGACTATGTAGTTTTCAGCGTTTTTGTGAAATTAGGGTTGTGGATTTGATGTAGCAGAGATTTAGTTGTGCTTTTGTAATTTTAAGATTCAATCATGTTATCAAATCATCTACAAAACGGCATGGAGACGGCGAAGCTAATGTGGTCTCGGCTTCCGAATTCGGAGAATGGTGAGGTCGACGAGCTCGGCCGTTTGAATAAGGGCGATGGAAGCAGTGTGGAGAGCCTTGACTATGAAGTGATCGAGAATTATGCGTACAGGGAAGAGCAGGTCGTGTTTCTGTTCGAAATACTCCTCCTACTTTTCACTAAACTTGTTAAAGTTTTTTTTTTCTTTTGAAGGGCATTTTACGGTGTTGTTTGTATTATGATGGTTGATTTTGTGATTTGAAAACTTCAGGCTCAGAGAGGAAAGCTATATGTTGGATACTATGTGGGTGTGAAGTGGTTCTTTGCTTTGCTGGTCGGTATCGGTGAGTTTATAGCTTCTGCTTCTGAATATTTGTTGATTTATATACTTGTAGTTAGGACGGTTGGTTTTGTATGGTATATGTGTTGCAATTCTACAATTTCTCTGTATTGAAACGGATTACGCCACTAGGATGATGTTTTATATGCTATAATTTTGCATTTATCCCTTCATGGCTTTGCTGATCGGAAAAATATGGTGAGTTAACCACGTTTTGGTTGTGAATTTCTATTTAAAGTATTGCAGAAAATGATTTTAGTTTGTTTGCGAACTCACCATTGAAACTGCAAATCTAGTTGCTTGCTTGTTTATTTGTCACTTGATGCCAAGATAGAATTGGAATGTAGTAACTTTTTTCAAGTTACTTGCAGAATCAATTTTTTCTTTGCACATAATTGTTGCTGGGGGTGGAATGTTAAATTGTTGTTTTAGGTTATAAACATTTACTGCTTTAAGTAAGTATAGTATCCTCGATTGCCCAAAAATTGACTATTGTTGTTTTAGGTTATAAACATTTACTGCTTTAAGTAAGTATACTATCCTTGACTGCCCTAAAATTGACTTTCTTTTGGGTTGCTTCCAGGTACCGGATTAGCTGCTGTTTTCATTAATCTTTCTGTCGAGAATTTTGCTGGATGGAAGTTTTCCTTGACCTTTTATATCATACAGAGGTCATATATCGCGGGATTTTTGGTATATGTTTTAATCAATTTGGCTTTAGTCTTTTCTTCTGCATATATTGTCACGCAATTTGCACCAGCAGCAGCAGGATCTGGTATTCCTGAAATCAAGGGTTATTTGAATGGTAAGCCATACTAGTGAGCTTTTCTACATTACTTGTCAGTCATATCCATTGCAGATGGTATATAGTTTAAGAGGACACTGATAGCCATTCATATGAGCAGGAGTTGATATACACGGTATCCTACTATTCAGAACTTTGATTGGAAAGGTCTGATGGAATTTCTTGGTTTTCTATTCCTTTAGGATGGTTCAGGCAAAACGCATATTTTGAAGAAATTGTGCTTGATTTCTTTTATAGATATTTGGAAGCATTGGTTCAGTGGGAGGTGGTCTAGCTCTTGGTAAAGAAGGCCCTCTTGTTCACACTGGTGCTTGTATAGCTTCTTTGCTTGGACAAGTAAGAACCTAAAGCTTGAATATTTTGCATTTGAATGCCGACAGACAGTTGAAATTCTCTTACACCATGTTTTACACTTTATCCATGTTTTCATTGTAATCTCTCATTATAATTATGTATCTAAAAAAGCTGATTATATGCATGTTTTAGTGGCTAACTGTTATGTTTTGCAGTCCGGTCATATTTGGAAATTTAAATATAAATAAAGCTTCAAACTCCATTCGTTATTATTTTTTTTTGTAATGCTAGGTTCAACGTGTGAATTATGTAGACTGCGTATCCTTGATTCATAATTCGGTCACAAGATTGGGGCATACCAATATTTAGCTCATAGATATGCTTTTGCATGATGTGTAAACATATTCCAAAGAAATTAAATATTACATTATACCATAATTTTCCTCCATGTTGGTGCATGTTAATTTGCTTCACACTTGTGATTCCCAGATTAAATTTTCAAATTACAATTGGAGTCAATGTGCTGTAAGAATTTAGTGTCAGTATCTTCCTGTGTCTGGCTTGCAAACTGAGGTTTCTTCCTTGTTTTATGCCTAAAATCAGGGTGGTTCTACAAAGTATCATCTAAGTTCAAGGTGGCTACAAGTTTTCAAAACTGATCGTGATCGCCGTGATCTTGTGAGTGATTTATGGCTTTTTAGTTGAGAATGAAGCTTCTGTTTTTTGTGGAAAAAAGATTGTGTCATTTTTAATTCATTGTTCTTTTTTTAAATATAATTCATATGCTAGTTAATCCTATTGGATTTTGAAGTAATATATGGTGATCTGCTTCAGGTCATCTTTTTGTAGGATAGCATTAACCTTTTTTCTTTTTCTTCCTCGTGTTTTTACTTTTGGCTTGTCAGAACTATATGCAATATTTCTTAAAGGGGCTGAATTTATATTTTTATTTTCTCTGAATTGGAAGATAGATTAGTTTTACATTTTGTTACCATTGCCAAATCAAATTGAAAAGCCTGTTACGTTTGCATTTTTATTAACAATTTTAATTGTTGCTTTATCATTTATAGAAGGTGGTCTATGCCAGGGCATTAGTTGACCATATAAGCATTACACTATAATGCGAATCATGAAATTTCTATACTTTCACAATTTTAACTTGCCTTTGCTCACAATTTTTTTTTTTAATAAATAAATTAAACAAAATGTGTGTTGGGAGACAAAAGTAGAAATGTCCAAGCACATCTTGCTCCTATTTTGTGCACAGCTCCACAAAAAATAATTTGCATTTTGTGTGTTTGTTTTCAATCAAAAATTTATTTCCATATGGGGTCAAATTCTGATCGGTTTAATAGCTTGTACTTTCTTTTCTTTTTTGGCCAATATGTCTCTGTCTTCATAAAATTTCCTGTCTTATTTGGGGTAATAATTAAAATTTTTGGTAACAGTAAAGTGTTTATACTGAACAACTGTATTTCCTCATTTTTCTTACCTAATATAATGGCTGCATTCACATCCATGCAATAACATCATTCGTCAATCCTATACCTTTTGTTCAGATGTCCAACATGATGTGATAGAGTAGTAGAAATTATTTGGCGCTCTTTTCAATTCTCAGATGTTGCTGCTAGATCTGTCTAAAACTCGGCTCTCACCTTTCAGCAAGAAAAGGTGACACTGCCTCTAATTGTGCTCATTTTCTATTGGTGTGATGTTTTGAAAAGGTAACCTGTGGATGTGCAGCTGGAGTTGCTGCTGCTTTCAGAGCTCCGGTTGGTGGTGTGTTATTCGCATTAGAAGAAGTTACATCTTGGTAATCTCCCCCCCAAATGTCATGATTGCATCGTCACATTTTTGGTGTATATGCATATACATATGTTCTACGGTACGTCTATATGTACATGTTACTTATTGTATGCGGACCTAAATGTATACAGTTCTTGTTCAAGGATTACTGATTTCTATGCAGATTAATGTCCTAGTTTATTTTATTTTAATTACAGTTTTGTTGTTGAAGGTGGAGGAGCCAACTTATGTGGCGTGTGTTTTTCACTTCTGCTATAGTGGCTGTTGTAGTGCGTACTGCGATGGGATGGTGTAAGAGTGGAAATTGTGGACATTTTGGCTCTGGGGGCTTCATAATATGGGATGTCTCAGAGTCAGGATCTGAACTTTATTTTTGATATTTTCAGATTAATTTTTTTTGGCCTGCCTTTCTAGTTTTCTGATTACTTTTCCTTGTAGTGGTCAAGAGGACTATTCATTTGAGGAGTTGTTGCCAATGGCATTTATTGGTATTATTGGAGGTCTTCTTGGTATGTTATGCTGGGCACTGGATTTATGTTTAGCCATCAAGATTGGAAAAAGACTTAGAAGTTTCTGTCATTTGAGTTGGAATTGACTTGCCCTTTTGTAGGAGCTTTATTCAATCAGCTTACTCTTTATATAACTCACTGGCGTCGAACTCATTTACACAAGAAAGGAAACCAAGTTAAAGTAAGTTTTGGAGTAAAATACTGAATTGTGTTTTCCTTTACAATGACTTGATTTTGCATTTGATGCCTTTCTGTTCCAATATTGCAGGTTATTGAAGTGTGTCTTTTATCTGTTATAACCTCAGTTATTTCGTTTGGATTACCACTTTTTAAAAAATGCAGCCCGTGCCCTGAACCAGATCCTAACTCTGGTATTGAATGCCCTCGCCCACCAGGAATGTATGGGAATTATGTAAATGTAAGATTTTTTATTAATCTTGATTTCTGTTGGATTATTTTTTTCTGTGCTGGTTGTTGCTTACATGTACTTTTTTAATTTATTACGTGTTCATGTGGTTGCATATGTATGTTGCGCTCAGCTTCTAAACTGACAGTGCCAAATGTACTGGGATTTGTGGAGATTCATTCTGGGCTATGGAATCCCATGTCTGGAAGTGTTATAATATTGTAGTGATTGCTTGAACTTTATGCTCTAGATTCCGGATAATGATATAGATAACTCCATTTGACCCTCTTTGCCAGTGCTAAATAATGTTGTATGAGGTCAATTTTTCAGTATGATATCTGTGCTTTCCTCACTTCTTTATGTAAGTACGAGATGACATACAAGATTGCAAAGCCAGAAACTGGTTGTGCAAATCAAGATCTAGTGGGCAAATTATACTGTCAACTTGTATATTAGATGTTTATTTAATTTAAAACCAAACGCTTGATCAGTCTATTTTATGGGAGCTGATATTTAGATATCTCTCCTATGGTGCAATTTATGTACCCCGACTAAAGTCACAATAGGACCTGAAGTTGCATATTCCTTGTTCGTGGCATTGATACTATAGATTGTCTTCCTCTTTTCCCAAATTGATAAGTATCAATATCTGTTCTATAATTGAAACTAAAGTTTAAGTACACCATTAGGCAATGAAAATTTACAGATTTTCTGGTTTTCTTTTATTGGTGTGGTACCAGTATATTTATCTAATTGAGATATTGCATGCATCTGTTACCATAATTTAATGATTGCCATTGTTTTCTACCACTTCAGTTCTACAATTGGGCCTTCCTCTTTCACTCCACAGTTTCTCATAGATTTGTGATAAAGGAAATCCTTTTTCTTTTGGTTACCAAGTTCGATGTTTTTTAACTCTATCGAAAAATCGAAAAAAGGCTTACATGGTTTCTTCTTGTTATGGTTGAAGTGACCTTTTGTCCTCTTGGTGAGTGGTGGCACTTAAATTTAGGGCATCATTTGTCCATATATGCTGAATTTAGAAACTGCTGCATGTTTCTATGACCTCAATTGACATATGTCCTATCGTTTCGTTAAAAAACGCACAAGTCATAAAAGTAAAATGTTTGATGTGCTATGGTTTTTAAGTTGCTTGAATTTGCACTCAATCATGGCACTATTTTTGCTCTTCTTTGCTTCTATATTAGGCTTATATTTAAACTTGAAGAGAGTTGATGTATGTGGCAATTTCTACTAGGAGCTCTCCTTAATTACGCTTGGGGGTATGAGCCTCAATACTTTTGAAATTGTGCTTGGATTATAGTATCGTTAAATTGGTGTTTGCTTTCTGGATGTAGCAGATGTTTGGACCATTGCATTTAGTTGTTTTTTATGGAAATCATTTGTGCATATAAAGGTGTTTGTGGTGATATTGTGAACTTAAATTTTCAATCTTTTTAAGTTATACACTGTATAGTCCTCCTTGTATCCCTTTATGCTTGAAGCTCCTTTTTAATTGGTGAAATTTCCTTCTGCCTTCGATCATCGCATTTTGAATTTTTGCGCATGCAGTTTTACTGTGGCAAGGACAAGGAATACAATGACCTCGCAACTATCTTTTTCAACACTCAGGTTGAATAAACTTCTGGCAGAACCTTTTTGTGTAGATGATAGTACTCGTTCTCCATCTTGGTTTTCATTCTTCTAATTGTTCTAAACACCTGTTGCAGGATGATGCAATACGAAATTTATTTAGTGCAAAAACTATGCATGAGTACAGTGCCCAAAGCCTGCTGACATTTTTGGTATTGTAGACTTTTAATTATTTTTCTAGTTTTCCTTTTGTTTGCAAATTGTATGATCTCTCGGCTTATATATTCTATAAAGTCATATACTCTACATTCGTATAGATTTGAAGGAATGCGTGATTATAGTTTCAGTGTCAATGACAATAGTTGTACATTTTGACAAAAAAAAAATACTTTTCTGAAGAATTTTTGTATATTGCAAAGCATAGAAATCTTTTTTTATTGATAGAGGTATTCCTAATACTTGGGATCTGGTTTTTTTAAGTTGAGTATTGACACTTAGAGGTTTGGCACAGTCATTTGAGCATTGAGCTTTACAAAATCAATTTATGAGCATACTGTTTCAGGCTGTAAGGGTTTTTTTTTTTGTGTAAAAATGATTTTCATGGATAAAAATGTGATTAAAATGCCAGATTGTTGTAGGTGCATCCCTGTAGCTTTTATCGGTTTCAAATTTTATGGGGATATCTTTTGTTTCTGGCAAGCTTATCAGGCAAAGGCTTTGTGGTTATTTATTTATTTTATGACTTATGAGATATAATGGGCTTCAGTGAACCAACTTTCCATATCTCCATAGTGTTATTTTTGGTGCATAAGCATAGATGAGAATTATATTTTTATTCGCAGGTCATGTTTTATACCTTGGCAGTGGTGACTTTCGGTACTGCTGTTCCAGCTGGTCAATTTGTTCCTGGTATAATGATTGGGTCAACCTATGGGCGTCTTGTAGGCATGTTTGTTGTTAGCTTTTACAAAAAGCTGAACATTGAAGAGGGAACGTGAGTTCTTATATCCTTCTTTTTTGATGAACTTGCATAATAGAGATGTGTTTCACTTTCATTAGATCTTTCAAACTCATGAGAGTCATTCTATTGAATCTTGTGTTTGTCATGAAAGAAGTGTGTTGACCGCAATTAGATGCAACTGGATTGTGGAACATCTGGAAAACGTCTTTGCACATATGGGAATTGGCTAATACTCATATTAGATGACGTCTGAATCATGGAGACACACATGAAGTAATGTCTTTCTATTAAAATGGTTTTGCAAGATGATTTAGATTGGTATTTCGAATGTTCCTCGTGCATGTTGTTTGGTGAACACATTTCTGCATCCGATTTTATTATTCATTTTTTTGTTTTCTGAACTTTGCCCATGTTTACATTTTTTCTTCAGTTTTCTTTTTCGTGTCTTTGCATTGTGATTTTCTTTTGCATTATTTGTGCCGTTTTAGCTTTCCAAAGTGGCAATTTCCAAATCTTGTTTCCATTTGATGACTAAAAATGGTCCAACCTACAGAGGTTGTGTTTCTTCTTCATTTGGGTGGGAATATGCACTTCAGCATGTGTTTGCAACTAGTAGAAAAAGCCAAGTCTCTCTTCTTTTCCCCCTCCATTATTGCAATTTTTTATACCATATTTTGGTTTCATCTGAATTTTTTTGCGTAACTCTTGGTGGGTATGTTAGATATGCTTTACTTGGAGCTGCTTCTTTTCTTGGAGGTTCCATGCGGATGACAGTCTCCCTCTGTGTTATTATGGTTGAAATTACTAATAACTTGAAGCTCTTACCTCTGATCATGCTTGTTCTCCTTATATCGAAGGTATGATTTTTATTTTGTCTAAAACAAATTTGCATTTGACACCAGTTAAATTGTGATATATACTTGGTCTTTACTCTCCACAGGCAGTTGGTGATGCTTTTAATGAAGGTTTGTATGAGGAACAGGCTAGATTGAGAGGTATTCCATTGCTTGAATCAAGACCCAAATACCAAATGCGGAATATGACAGCAAAGGAGGCCTGCGGGAATCAAAAGGTTGAATGCCTTCAAAATTTATTTTTACTGTGATTTGTGGACACCTACATGAAGCGTTTAGGAACCGTTTTACATGTGAGGCACCCCACCCCCCTCCTCTTTCCCTTTTCTCCTTCCTTCCCCCTTCTGTTGTTTATGGGTGGGGTTGTTGACAGGGACTTGTAGGCTTTGGAGTTATGCACCATGTATCATAATTGTTTTGACGTATACCGTTTGCCATTATGTTACTTGTACTCGACATTTCCATAAACTTGTAAAATCTGGATTCCTCAATTATTGGTTGTTTGCTACATGTTACATCTTTCTGTTCTTCTCTCTGTCAGGCCTATTTTGAGCTCACAGTTTGACCTATTTCCTTCCTAAATAGGTTGTCTTCTTGCCACGCATTGTCAATGTTGCGGATTTAGTCTCTATTTTGAGGAGCAACAGTCACAATGGCTTCCCTGTAAGTTTCACTTTTCCATTGCTTAACTTTCCTGTTTAATTTATCTGTTTATTGGAGTGATGTTTCGTTTTTCCTTGTCATCAAGGTTATAGATCACACAAGAAGTGGAGAAACACTTGTAATCGGGCTCGCAATACGAAGGTAAGAGAATATATATTTTTAAGAACCAGAGCACAATGGTTTACTTGTTGTGGTTGGTAGATTTAATGAAAATTTAAGTAACTTACGAAGGTGTACATCATGCAGTCATTTGTTGGTACTTCTGCAGTCTAAGGTTGATTTCCAGCATAGTCCTTTGCCATGTGATTTGCAAGGTGGTTCTCTTCCAGTCAGGTAAATCAAACCTTGATGTTAGCATACTGTTGCCGCTTCTTTCTGGGGCTAAAAACTAATGGATTCTTCATATTCCAGGCATAACTTTGGCGAATTTGTAAAACCTGCTTCCAGTAAAGGATTATCTATAGATGATATTCATGTAAGTCCAGATGATGTGGAAATGTACATAGATCTTGCCCCTTTTGTAAACCAGTCTCCATACATTGTCCCTGAAGATATGTCTTTAACAAAGGTGAACATTTCGACACAGCTTTATTACTCGCATATTTGTGGAGTTTTCCAACTAACATGTTTGTTTGATCCAAAAAAAACATGTTTGGATGTCTTATGTTGCTGACGGTGCAGGTGTATAATCTTTTCCGCCAACTAGGACTGAGGCATATATTTGTTGTTCCCCGTGCTTCTCGTGTAATTGGTATGCTTACCAGGAAGGATTTGTTAATTGAGGTACTTCAGCTGGATCACCCACCGTCTTCTTATGTTTAATTAAACATCACTTGAACTGCATGGTGATATGAAAATTAAATGATTTGTATTGCAGGAAACTGAAGATTCCACTGCAGTGGAGCTCCAATCGACTAGTGTAAGGTCTCTATGCTGCTTTGCCATATACGTCTATCATCATATGCACTATTATTTTAATGTATATTGAAATTCAATATTTCACAGGTTGGAAGCTAAGTTAAAATTTAGCTTCACCATGTGAAAAGGATGAAAAATTGAATTGCTTGAAAAAAAGAAAACCCTTGGAGATTGCGGGTAATGTCATAAGATGTGTAACCGGTCAGAATTCCTGGATAGATATATACATATGAGTATGGAAGAATGCTAAAGCATGAAGTAAATAAAAAGAATTATGTCCTGCTTTGAGATTTTTCGTTTGATGAGAAGTAAAGAGTATAATATGTCCCCTTTTTAAGTTATTATTCATCTCAGGGTCAAGCATCATTAAATGGATGGTCTTTTCTCTTGTTCATTGAATGTGCAAATACTAAGTTTATTTTGGAAAAGTGTCGATATGTAGTACCATTTTTCTTCATCTGCTGGTTATGTTGTTATATTTGATCTTCTATAAGATCGGTCTGGACTTTCTTTTGCTTTTTATTTAGGATAATGGGAGAATCGTCCCACCCAGACTTTCTTTTTCAACCATTCCATCAACCAGTGCGGTAAGATGATTGCATCATGTTATATGTGATGGAAAGAGGTTACTGGTGACTCTCTCTCTACTTTTTATGTAGTAGTTAAAATTAACCTTCTAAAATGGTAGCCATTGAACTAGTACAATTTGTATGGTAATTGGTAACCATCCTAGCAATATGGTACTCTTCTGCATCGGACTTGGAACTTTCGATACGACTTTTATGGAGTCCATTCCCAAAGAGGTGCCCCCCTCAGTAAAGTGCTTGCAGCTTTCGTCCATCCATTGTTGAAAGTGTAGCATTCTACAAGATCGGCCCTTTTACCCTAATCATTCATCTCTTTTTGACTCATTGCAAATTTTTGTTGGCAGAGTTCGACAACATGACAGAAGCACAGGAACAAGGAATGCAGATGCGGGCCACCCACTACTCGATGGTCTTCTTGTTTAAGTATGTTCGACAATGTGACCGAAGCACAGTAACGAGAAATGCATATGCAGAGCATCCACAGTTTTACCAGGCTTACTGACGTTGCTGGCTCACTTTCACCAATACCGATTTTCATCTGCTTCCTCGTTATTTTGTTGCTGGGTATCAGATTCTTCATTCTCGTCCTGTCACGTAGGTTATAACCTTGTAGGAAGAGTATATAGTGCATTCATTATTGTCCCCTTCTCATATTATTAGGGGTTATGTAACCACACCAGCTATATTCTTGTACTAGTTATTGTCTGTGCCTGAAGGCACAGTAATTAAAAAAAATAGTTAACAATAAATATATTTGTATTCACATTTAAAATTCATTCACATATATAGAGAAGAGAAAAAAAAATTTAAGTACTGGTTATAATAGAAGTGAGCGATAGTACTGGTGGTAATAGGGTGGCCATGTCGGTGGTGGTGGTGGTGGTGGTGGTAGTAGTGATGGTCGTGAGGGGGTGGTGGTGAGGCGATAGGGGTAGTGGTGGTGGGGGTAATGGTTGGACAGTGGTGGGGTGGAGGTGGTAATGGTGGTGGTGAGGCGATAGGGGTTGTGGTGGGGTGGTGGCAACGGTGGTAATAGTAAGGGACAGTGGTGATGGTTGTGGCAGAGGTGGTGGTGGTGGTGGTGGGTGGAGGTGACGGTGGTGGTGGGTGTAATGGGGATGGTGGTGATCGGGCAGTGGTGGTGGTGGTTGGGTGGCAACGGTGGTGGTAGTAGTGGGGTGGTGATGGTAGGCGGTGGTATGGTGATGACAACGATGATGTGGGGGGTGGTGGTAGTGGTGATGGTGGTGGGTGGGGTGGTGACATTGGTGGTGGTGGGGTGGCGACAGTGAAGGTGGTAGTGATGATGATAGTGGAAGATAGTTTGATGGTGGGGTGGGGTGGCGATGGTGGTGGTGGGCGTAATGGTGGTGAAGGGTGGTGGTGGGGCGATAGTGGTGGTGATAAGATGGTTTCAAACACTATTTTTTAAAAAAGTATTTATGAAAAATTATAAGTATTAAAAGTATTTTTAAAAAATTATTTCAAATACACTTTTAAGGTTCTATTTTTTTTAATTAAATTTAAAATATTAATATTAATCATCGGATTAATTTTAAAGTAAAATTGAAAGTGATTTTAACTGTGAATATTTAAAATTATTTTATTTATTTTTTGAGATTTAAATTATATTATATTTTACTATAAGATCTTTAATCTCACAAAGGAAAGAAAATTAGAGAGAATGTTGTACGAGGCGGAAATCTTTTCAAATGATATTTTTCTTCGTCGTCATTTCTCAATAATAAAAGATGGAAAGTGAGGTTGGCGCCCATTGTAGGATGTGTTGTCCATCTCCTCCCCTCCCCAAGACACCCGTTTACGCACCACACACGCTCAAAGACATGCATCCACCGAATAAGGAAGAGCGTTTTGTTTTCAATATTTTTGACATTTCCCTGCAATGTAGGGAAGAGTAAGAGAGAATAGAGGGTGCAGGTGCTTTGGTGATGGTTGAAGTTTTTGTTTTTTTTTGTTATTTTCCTCTCATAGTGGGAAAGCAACTTTGGCAACTGGTAAATTGACAGGTCTTGAATTTGATACGAATCAATTATACGAACTCGATTATAATTTGATACGAACTCAAAAATAATTCAACAAGTAAGCACGAAATGCAAACGAGTTGTGCTGAGTTCAACCCGCCTTAAACAGTATAGGTTGAGATTCTTTTCCAAGGTTTTACTTTATCAAGACTAATATTGAATTACCAACTTGTTTCAAGCTTCAATTGAGATCTTTCCTTCATTACTCAAACAATATATTATAAGTCACTGAATGATTGATTTGGTGCATAAGAACTTATATTTTTTTTGCTCAATGCTTGAATTCGAATTTTCATAGCTACAATAACTCAATAAGGCTAAATTTACTCTTTAGCATCCAGAGCATTCGGTAGAACCTTAGTGTCGGCCCCGACATAGATATAGTGTGGACTTTTGTAGATAGCTGTATAGTGCTGAGAGATAATATTTTTTGATGGATATGGGAAGAGTAAAAATCTATTCGCAACACATATTAGATAGGTTCAAAAAATGTCTAGAACTTAAAATCTACCGAGCTTTTCAATATAGATAAATCCTCAACATTTAAATGCCCTAATTTTCCAGGCTTAATACCTTGGAATCCGAGGGTAATGGTGTAGAGACAATCTAGGACCCTATTTTTGTCTCTAGAGTTTTAGAGTGGCCAAGTGCATAAAAACCCGCCAAGCCACTTATCTTTGCTCCACCCATACAACTTTGTTGGATATAATCAACCCTGTAAGTCTCTGACTTTTGACCTAGGTATTAAAATGGGATCCAATCCTCTCTATTACATTTTATATTCAGTTCTCTTTTTAACACATCATCTAACATTAATAAGTGAGGGACCCATTTATATTAAATAGATCCTACTTGAATGCATGATGAATGATGTGCCAAGAAAGAAATTGAAAAAAAAGTGTACCGAAGAGAGTCTCACTCCATTAAAACCGCTACTCCTATTGTACTTTCCTAAAATGCAAAGAAACTAGTCAAGAAATATTCTACTGGTAAGAAATAAAAAAAAAGAAAGAAATCTCTAATCTCTTGGTTACCAAAGAAACACAATGTTTTCATCATCCTTGTTGTCAGTTTACCTCAACTTCTTTTCTAATTTTAGAGAACCCCATATTAGTAAAATATATTACTACATATATCCACATTTTCCCACAGTTCATCGAGTTTGTATTCCCTTTCACTCCATAAAAAAAAATAGAAAATAAACCCCAAAAAATTGTAAAACAAAAAATCTTATGTTGAAATTTTGTTTCTCAAGGTTTACCTGATAAAAAAGGAGTAAGAGTGAAGAAAAACCTCCCTTCCCCCCCAACAATACTGTGCAATTTTCGGTTCCCCCGGGCGCAACACTTTGAAGAAACAAAGATGACAAGTGGTAGCAATCCCCCAACACATTTTGGATCAAAAACCACTGTTTATGTGGTAGCATGCTGGATTTTTGCAGCCATGGGAGGCCTAATGTTTGGCTATGATATTGGAATTTCAGGTGTATTTGAAATATAATTTTAGAGGAATTTTTATTGATTTTTAGTTATTTTTGAATGACAATACTAGATTGGTTTGTGTTAATTTCAGGTGGTGTGACATCCATGGATGACTTCTTGATCAAATTCTTCCCGGCTGTTTATCAGAAGAAACTTCATGCCAAGGAAAACAATTACTGCAAATATGATGATCAATACCTTCAGCTTTTCACATCTTCCTTGTACCTTGCTGCTCTAGTTGCAAGCTTTGGTGCATCAAAGGCATGTTCACTATGGGGTAGGCGACCCACGATTATAATGGCATCAGCCTTTTTCATGGTGGGAGCAGCCATAAGCGCTTTGGCAACGCATAAATGGATGCTTATTGTTGGGAGGATTCTTTTTGGCATTGGAGTTGGATTCGGAAATGAGGTATGGCACATTGATAAAACTTGATTAATAGTAAAGTATAAAGCCTGAAAAAAAATTTGAATTGGTTGATTTTCAGTACAATAATTGTAGACATAGTAAAAGGGAATTATATAGATCTTGGATCAAGTCAATGGTACTAATGAAACTAAATCTCGATAAATGCAGTCAGTTCCTCTGTTCTTATCAGAGATTGCACCAGTTCATCGTCGTGGGGCTGTCAACATTCTCTTCCAACTATTGATAACAATAGGAATTCTGATTGCTAGTCTTGTCAACTATGGCACATCAACAATGCATCCACATGGATGGAGGGTGTCATTAGGTTTAGCAGGCGTTCCGGCTATCTTCCTATTTTTCGGTTGCATGTTCCTCACTGAGACACCAACAAGCCTAATGGAACGTGGCAAAGAAACAGAAGGGAGAGAAGCTCTAAGGAAAATCAGGGGTGTTGCTGATGTAGAAGCTGAATATGAACAGATTAAAATGGCTTGTGAGATAGCGCGAGAAGTCAAACATCCGTTCCAGAAGCTCATGAAGAGCTCAAGCATGCCCCCATTGATAATTGCCATTTTGATGCAAGTGTTTCAGCAGTTCACAGGGATTAATGCCATAATGTTCTATGCACCTGTGCTGTTTCAGACAGTCGGTTTCAAGAGCGATGCTTCGTTGTTGTCTGCTGTGATCACTGGAACTGTGAATGTGGGAAGCACTTTCGTCTCAATTTTCTCTGTTGATCGGTTAGGGAGGAGGAAATTGCTTCTTCAAGCTTGTGTTCAGATGATAATCTGCCAGGTACTGAACTTCACTTTTTCGAACTGCACAAAAAACAGCTTATATCAGGACCATGGCAAAGCGATATGTATTGATATTTTGACTAATCTTGATCAAATGGCATGGTTCCATTTGTTCTATCACCCATTTTGCCTCTGCTATTATTTTGTTTTTTTTCTGTAGCTTTTTGAACATGTGATGGTTCTTCCATGAATTATTCTACAATATTTCCATGGTTATGTTGCTATATTAACTAGTTGGAAATGGATGCAGCTGGCAATTGGAGGCATTCTTCTTGTTAACTTGAAAGCCACAGGTACACTTGACAGAGGACTTGCGGCGTTGGTGGTGGTGCTGGTATGTCTATTTGTTATGAGTTTTGCATGGTCATGGGGTCCTCTGGGCTGGTTGATACCAAGCGAAACGTTTCCTCTGGAGACAAGAACTGCAGGCTTTGCATTTGCAGTTAGCTCCAACATGTTTTTCACCTTTGTCATAGCTCAAGCATTCTTATCAATGCTATGCAACCTTCGTGCTTATATCTTCTTCTTCTTCTCTGCCTGGATATTGGTCATGGGGTTGTTTGTGGTGTTCCTCTTGCCAGAGACAAAGGGTGTGCCAATTGATGTCATGAATGAGAGGGTCTGGAAAAAACATCCAGTCTGGAAGAAGTTCATGGATGAAGGGCCATCTAATATTGAGATGATCTAAATTTATTTGGAGTATTGTGTGGGATTGAAGAGTTGAAGTTATTTTCTCTCTCCCTTTTGTTTGTGTCTAGAACACTTTCTTAGGCATGTGGAGATTAGTAAGAATTCTGCAAATATACTTTTTTTATGTGTGGCAGATAGAGTAAATGCAGAGGTTGGTTGCATTATGGCTGTATTTGGTAACTTGATTCTATGATTTTCGCTTTGCATAACTGTGGCGGCGTTCATCCCCCACCCCCCTCAACAAAAAAAAAAGGTACTCCATAGGTATGAATTCACCTTGAAGTATATAAATTTTTATGTTAGACTAGTTCTAAAAATAAAGGGAGAATTACATTCAAACCTCAGACATTTAAAATATTACACACAAATCTCTTGAGGTTTATACGCGCATTACACTTAAACCACTGTTGTAAATATATCTGTTAATGAATTACACTTAAACTCCCCTAAAGATTGTGGATATATAATACTTATACTGTTTAAGTTTAAAATATTATATTTAGATCAAAAATATTTCATTCAAATATAAAATATTTTAAATTTTACAACCAAAATTAATGTTTTATTGTATCATTTATTGAAATAAAATTAAAAATAAAAATTTAATTTTTTCTTAAAAAAATCGCAATTAGTATACAATTATAGAATAAAACTAAAAAATCAAACAATTAGTCTAAATCATTCATAATAGAACATGAATTTTACATCCAAAATTTATGTTTTGTTATGTCATTTATTGAAATAAAATCAAAAATAAAATTTATTTTAAAAAAAAACATAGTTAGTATATATTTATACTGTCAATTAGAACAAAACTAAAAAATTAAACAAGGAATCAAACTGTAATAGACACAATATCTTTTAGATTTAATTGGGGTAGTTTGATATTTTAATTTGGTCATTTAAACGACTAAATTAAATTCTAATAGACAATATAATTGTATACTAATTACAATGTTTTAAGAAAAATTTGAATTTTTATTTTTAATTTTATTTCAATAAATTATCCAATAGAACATGAATTTTAGTTCTAAAATTTAAAATATTTGATATTTGATATTTGATTGGAGTATTTTTTATCTAAGTACAATATTTTAAATTTAAAAAATCTAAGTATTATATACCCACAAACTTTAAAAGAGTCTAAGTGTAATTTATTAATGGATATATTTACAACAGAGGTTTAAGTGTTATGCGCGTACAAACCTCAGGGGTCTTGTGTATAATATTTCAAATGTCAGGGAGTCTGAATGATTAAGTAACAAATCTCAAAAAATCTCGGCGTAATTCTCCCAAAAACAAATGGTGGTTCAACAGTTCAAAACCGGCCTCCCTTAAAATCAAAGGGAGATACTCGAACACCCTATATATAGAATTTACATACAGTCCATGTAAATTATATAGGCAAATTCATTGATGGGCAAATTCTTGAATGTTGAAGGTATTACTTTTGCTGTTTAGGGGAGAAAAAAAGTGATACAACCAATCAGACTCACTCCAAAATACGAATCTCCAATCACAAAAAACTAGTATTAGCATTGGTAAATTTATGGCTATCATACAATTATGCATATCTATGTCTAATACTGTTGTTCTCAAATCGCCTCGACCCAAACCACCACCTCAACAACATAATGACTCCCCAAAAGCTCATGAACTTGTATGTGGGAGACTCCTGATTTAAGCAAAACCACAAACAAAAACAGCCAAAGTCCATCCAAGATTAGCAAGGAGCCTCTTGAAAGCATACAATGGAGCTGCATCACTTGGAGAAGGTGCAGGTGTCGCGGCAGCAGGAACGGAAGGCAATGCAGATGGAGTAGGAGCCGATACAGCAACATGAAGCACGTTAATGTCGACTTTCTGTCCAGCTTGGCAGTGACCAGGAAAACCACAGAGAAAGTAATGGTGACCATGATTGGTGATGGTGATGGAGTCATTGCCTGTTTTGTGAGTAGTAATAGGGGCAGAGGCATTGCATGCCTGGTACTCAGGGTGTGTGACTTGCATCACATTGTGGAATTGAGGACTGTACTCAAAAACTGCCCACACCATTAACACAAAAACTTGTTATAGAAGAAGAAAGAAAGTAAGGCAGATGATTATAAGCATCAACAGGAATTTAAGACTACAATAATACAGAAAATCAATGTATGCAACTATAACCTGTGCAACTATGCTCACAATCTTAGTTGTGCAATTCTAAGGGCAATAAGCAAGCAAAAATCATACGACAAGCACACAAGAGGTTAGGCAATAGTACGCCTGGTTCACCAAGTTCTACCACTGCAGGGCCCAATCATACTCAAAGGGGGGATCCCTCAATCATATGCTTAACACATGCAAGTCAAACGTTTTTTCTGTGAGCTAGGCAGAAAGAAAAGAGGCTTCTAGCTAAAGGTAGCTTGTCTCACAATGCCGTGGCCTGTGGGCTCCACTCAATTTGGTATCAGAGTTCACAAGTCTGTGTTCAGGTAAGACTACAAAGACTAACTTAAGAAATTCTCCTCGTACATTTCCTAGTCAGAATTTTGAGGCATCAAGTATGCACTAACATAATCAGTTCTGGGATTGAAACTTATAATTGTAGAGACAAAACTAGTAGCTTGAATCAAGGGTATTCTAGGCTCGTTAAAAAGGCACGCTTGATTGACAAGCTCTGTGCCGGCAATAAGTGTAGGCCTGAAGGGCAAGTCCCAGTTTATGATATGTTATCAAGTGTGCAACCACAGGGACCAGCAGAAGCAAGTTTCGCCATGAACTTCGGCCAACTCCCTTGAAAATGTTAGTACGGTATAGTAGGTGAGTGAGTTAGTTATCTATGGATTCAATATTAGTTGATTCTCCATCATACCTAATTCCACAGTTAGCAGAAAAATTATAAATAAAACATCCACTCAGATCTTGCACACTACTAGCAGTCTAGCACATAGCCATGCCCAATATCTTTATACTTCTATTTTAATTGGTCTGAAGATTAACACCCAATTTGGATATTTGGATCATAACAATTGAAATAATTCAAAAAGTAGACCATGAAGGTGAATAATAAACCATATCTAAGGTTGCTGCAAACCCAACTTTTAGCCAATGCCGGTGGAGAGGCTGATACAAAACAGAGACTTTATCCAAATTCATCAATTAGATGTTTTTTTATGAATCACCAGAACTCTCTAAGAAACTTTCCTTGGGATTGGAAAAGTTAAGTAACATGTTGTCCATAGGGAAGAGTGTTGGTGATACTGGTAACATAGCTTAACTTCAAGCTTGGTTCTTTTGTGCAGCAGAGTATCAAATCTTAACCAAATCTCTAAAGCTTTTTTTTACTTCTCTTTCCATTTCTAATAGAAAGCAAAAGCTGGTTGATAAAGTAAGGATAAATGACACTTTTCACTTTTGTTCAATTTTTCATAGCAAATAAAGGCAAAAATAGAATCCCATGATGTTTGGAGATGTAGTCTTCCTCTCCTCAAGTGGGCAAAATTCTATTTTTGCCTTGATTTGCTAGAAAAAGTTATCAATAGTTTAGGTGCCATGTGAGAAAATGAATAATATGGTGGACAATGTGAAAAGGAGTATAATTTAGGGGTCAAGTAATTTTCCCTAAATTTAATTTTTTTTTTCTTTTTGGTAGTTTAAAATGGATATACAGATAGATTATTCCACATATCCACCGGAGAGTATTATCTCTCAACACCACAAAACTATCTACAAAAAATCCTACTGCACCTGCATTGGAACTGAAGCTAATGTCTCGCCACGTGCTCTGAGTTCTAAAGAGTCAGTACAGCCCACCAATTTGCCATAACTATGGACAGTCAAACCAAAATATTGAGCAAAAAAATTTAAATTCTTACCTACCCACGGCTAAATTTAATTTCAACTTCATTCTTTTACTATCCTATTTTCAGATTTATTCCCTTCTCTGAATTTTCTTTTGTTTTCGGGGCATTGTAATAATCCATTTGTTCCATACAAACACATCATATCAGTCTCTTATCAAACCAACCCCAAGAGATACCATTTGTGGTCTGTGGACCATACATGTAGGGAGTGAAAGTAAATACAAACAGGAAAAAGATAGCAAAGTGGTGGATGGCTGGCACTTCAATCAGAAAGTTATGGCTATCAATATCATAGGCCAACATGATTATGACCCCCGTGAAAGATTAGATTTTTTTTTATGTTTCTGTGGAGACAAACCAACATGCAGAATGGTCCAGGGATGATGATGATGGACCACATCCTGAATCTCAAAGAAATGGATGGTCCATGGTCACATTTCATCATTGGATTCTGCACACGAGACAGATAAGAACACAGAACTAATGGTCAAAACCAACCACGTTTTACAGCCATTTTTTTCAAACTTCTTTTCCAACTTAGTTGTTAGAGTACAATTATTTTTACTAAAAATGAATTAACCCCCACACACTTTTTGATAGGAAAAGACTGATTTTTTTTTTAAATATCGTACCCAATAAAAAAATGGCAACTTAACAAGTTATAAGTATTCATAATCGATCATAATATTTCATCTATGATACTTAAGTAACGTTCTTTGTTTATATAAAATAGGTATTTGTAAAGCATATTCTCTTATTCAAAGTGTATAAAAGCGTGGGTGAAACTCACGCTTGTGAAAGCGAACACCTTCGGCTCTAATAACCCACCCCCACCTGCAACTACAAAAAAGCAGTTACTATGTGTCCGTGATAATAGGCTAGCTAGTAGATAGACAGGGGACTGATCTGGGCCAAAACCCAGTGGGTGTGGGTCCCTAAAGACCAAACAAGAAAACAGAGTAACAGAGACAATGCAGAAAAATATCTGATCTGAGCTGAGCTGAGACTAAATATAAAAGACTGAACCATAAAGATTGGTCCCATGATCAGAAATTATGAGGGACAACCAAGGAAAAGGGGTTTTCTGGTAGTCGAGAAAGTCGAAGAAAAGAAATGGAATTTTTACATGTTTTGGCTGATATGGTATCGGCATCCTAAGCAGCCTTTTGTTTTTTTTTTTTTTTTCCTCTCTATTGACCATTAAGAATGTATGAATTAGTTTATATATTTATAGATTAATCTTTTTTTTGATTCGATCAAAAATCGACCATCTAAGTTAAAGAGTTTTCAAAATTCAGTCCCTGTGGCCATTATGCTACCACCCGAGGTTATTTAGCCCTTTGTTGACTAAAAGCTACGAAGTGGCCGGATCCGTTGGAAGTTTAAAAATCAAAACTTTCTTCTTCATTATTAATCCTTTCCTAGCAAACAAACAGCATTTTACTGGTACCGCCCTCACCTACGAAAGAGAAACACAAACCCAATACCCCCACATAAATTACAAACAGAAGGAAGCAGAAAGAGAGGATGCTTGCTTCTTGTTGAAGAAAACTATTTCAAAGTTGAAACTGAACTAGAGGAGATTGGGACTCAATTATGAGGGGAAACTCGAGGGAAAAAAATGGGTTTTCTCTCTGTTAGGTATCTGAGAAAATTAAAGAAAAGAAAGGAAATTTTTGCATTTTTAAGCTTATATGGTCTCAGTATGCTGAGTGATATGTGCACGGGAAGTTTAAATACCAAAATTTTTTCTCTCACTATTTTCCTTTCTTCGCAAACAGCCACAGTAAGTGGTACCCAGCCTACGAGAGTCTTGGAGGGGAGAATCATAAACCCAATAAACCTTACATGATCTACAAACGCAAAACTATACCCAAATCCAAAATAAAAGTAACAAACACAAGAACAGAGAGAGAGAGAGAGAGAGAGAGAGAGAGAGAGGACATACGGATGATATCACCAACTTGAAAGGTCTTAGTAGTAGCCCACTTCTTGTAATCAATATTGCCAATGATAGTCCAACCAGCAGAGTCCCCAACCTTGTACACAGCTGCAATGGAGACCTCAAGGAATGCATACAAGACCAACAGTACAGCCACAGCTCTCTTCTCCACTGCCAAAGCCATGGCTCTCTTAAGTTTTTTTTCAAAAGGTCTGTCTGTGTCCTTTGGGTGTGGAGGAAGATAGAACGGAAGAGTCCTTTTATATGTATTGTGGCTTTCATAAATGTTTGGCCTCACTAGTAGTTTGGAGCCTTCCGAGGTTAATGTGGACAACCAGAAAAGGACCCTGCTTTTGATAATGACTGCCCTTTTTAATTAAATGACAATTTTGGTGCTCCTTCAAGGCTTCTAATTATTTTTTTCTACTTTTTAAAAAAAAATATAATTTGAAGAGTGCTTTCTAATGCAAGCATGAGGCGTCTTCATCACCCGAATTAATGTTCTAGTGGTCTAATAGTTTAGTGATAAGTTATACTCGCTTAAAATTATTCTTGATTTTTATATAATTATTAAGTAGAATTTAATTTACGAGAATAACGCGATTTAGTGTTTAATTTTTGTGGTATTATAATGACGAATTACCCTTTTGGATTAATAGTTATATACTTAAATCAAATATTTTATAGTGGGGACTCTCGTAATCACGCCCATGAGAGATTACTGCCTATTAGTCATCTCTTTCCCTTTCAATCAGCCAAAAAAAAAAAAAAGAAGAAAAAAACATGAGTCAACTTCACATTTAAGAGGTTTCTAGCACTTACTAATTAGTTTTTAATCAAATTTATCTTTCATAGACTATAGAGAGTTGTTTTGGATGTTATTAAAAAGTAATGTTATAGGTATCTAATTTAGAGACATGATTAAGAATTTAATTCAATACAATCATTTCAATACATTTTCTATTCAATTTTCTTCTTGATAGATCAGCTAGTCACCATTAATGAGTGAATTCACTTGTATATAATAGGACCTACTTGAATACATGATATGTGATCCTCCAAGAAAAAAGAATTTAAAGAAAAAGCGTATTGAAGGAATCCACTTATATATAATAGGTTCCATTTCCCAATTTATTTAAAAAAAAAATTGCATTGATAGTAAATTTTAGAATTGATCCTAAATTTTTAGATCTCGTTGAATCATAACTTTAATCATATTATATTGCAACTTGATCTTATTTGATTATACTTTTTTTTTTTTTAATTAGAAGAAGAGAAATTATGGTTCTCAACCAGAAAAATTTTGGTAGACTTTCTATTAAAAACTATGTAGCTGTTTGTTCACCAGAAGACTATTTGGTTCAGTGCTTTGGTTGAAGAACTTGAAAGGAAAGAATGTCTGGGTGATGGTTGGTGGTGGTGGCGGCATGCCATACTATGTTCTGAAGAGAGAGAATTGGGGAAAAGTTGTAATTTTTTCAAATTATTCATTCAGTGTGCTCGGCCAGTGCTCCTTTCTCAAACCAGAACAACTCTAAATATTAGGGAAGACCCGAACCAATCGAAGGAAGTTGACTTATCCGAACCGAATGATTATACACCACAGTTTTTAAGGTTCCATGCATCAAGTATCAACGTTATTGATCTCACTCTTGCTGCCATTTTATGCTCTAAAGTGTTATAAGTTGAGTCCATTTAATATGTCACCTACAGGGTTGGTGTAGTGAATTAAGTAAGATGAAGAAGAATAAGCCTTCAAGTTTAGGCAACTATTGCCAAGAGGTTTTCAGATAGGACTAACTCATCAACAAGCAACTATTCCAATCATTTCCTCATTTATCCTGGTTTTTAAGTTTGCTTTACATTGATAAAATAATGACAGTTCAATGGACGAGACTCTCTTTGCTACCAAACTAAGAATCCATTTATTAAGTTGGATTGGAAATGTTGAGTAGTTGAAGTTGATAAAGAAGCATTTTCGAATAAAAAATGACAATTTAGTAGATTAGAGTTGATGGGTCAAGCCCAAGAAGAACCCAATTTATTTGAAAAACTCAAACCTCAATTGAAGAGCTCAGTCTTATAAAGACCCACTAAGCCCAATATTGTCCAAGTCCAGTCTCATCAGTTCGACTACGTCATCAAGAGAGAGAGAGAGAGCACGGGAGCCTTACTTGCATCGCCAATGAAACAGTCCACCCTCACCTTATCTTTCACCGCATCTCATTGAGAGCATCTCAACCATCTCGCCCGTTGAAAAGAAGTCGTGAGCTCTATCAAAATGGTTGCTTAGTTACTGTTAAATAGTCCCAACCTGTTAGGGGGCCGCCATCAATTGAGCACGACTCTCTCATCTCCTTCAAAACTTGTACTCTTTGCTCCCCACACCCTTGGGTTAATAAAATACCCGACAACCAAAGCCATTGAAGAGTGGATGTAGGTCGAGCTGACCGAACCACTATAAATTTCCTGTCTCTCCATCTCCTAATATTATTTCTTGTATTTATTATTCACACTTAACAGGTGGTGTACAAAATTATTTTGTGCATCATCAGTTTGGTGCCGTATGTGGGAAAGAGACTTGATTCTCACTCCCAAACATTCCATTTGCTGAACCAATGGCGATTACAACCAGGTCCATGAACCAACATGAAGACAATACATCACGAGAGGAGGATGTTGCTCCTTTACCTACCAACCCTGCTCCAAATGCTCTAACTCCAAATCTACAGCAAATGCTGGAGACCATGCAGCAGCTGGTGGCCCAAAACCAGCAGATACTACAACTTATGCTCGTTGGACGAGGAGTAGCACAACTTGGAGGTGCACAATATGGAGGACCCCAAGAAGCTCCACACCCTGCTGCACCACAGCTGGGCGCCCCACTTGGAGTACCTTTTGGCGCCCCGCACAGGGGAGCCCATCATGAGGGAGTTCCTCCTCCTCCTGCTTCCCATGGTGAGGATCTTCATCTTCAGGAGGATGAGGGCGAGAACCAAAACATATAGCATGGGAGTCATTTCCATGATCACTCCAGGGGACCCCCCAACCAGTGGGATGAGAAGATCAAGGAAGTACAAAAACAATTACGTGACGTCTTCAATGCCATTAAGGTGTAGGGACCCGAAATAGTAGACTACCTGGTAAGGCGCACAGACACGCCCTTCAAACCTGATGTGGCAAACTATCCCCTCCCACAAAAGTTCAAAATGTCATCCGTGGAGACCTTTGACGGAACGGAAGATCCACTAGACCACCTCGACACCTACAAGACTCTGATGCAGCTGTACAACGTTCCAGACGAAATCATGTGCAGGGCCTTTCCAACCACATTGAAGGGATCCGCACGACAATGGTTCGCTAAACTCCCCCCAGCCTCTATCGCTTCATTTGCTAAGTTGAGCAGGTCATTCATATCACATTACATTGGGGGGGGGCGTTGCCATAAGAAGCCTATCACCCATCTGCTTAGCATAAAGCATGACAGGGAGGAGAGCCTGAGGAGCTACCTCACTCATTTTAACGATGAGGTACTCTAAGTTGATGAGCCTAACAACAAAGTAACGATGACCGCCTTCTTAGGAGGCCTTCGCTCATCAAACTTCCTCTTCCCAGTGATGAAGCGCTCACCAAAAAGCATGCCAGAACTGCTAGCAAAGGCCCAAAAATATATGAATGCTGAGGACATTACTAGGGGCAGGCGAGGTGAGTCTTCTAGGGCAGCAGGGGAAAAAATGAAGAAAAGAGAGAGAGAAGACAAGAAGGAGACTAGCAATAAATGCGACAGAACAGAGAGGGTTCCCTTCAAAGACTGGCTAGGTCCTGCTCCTTAGAGGGACTGACAAGCCTTCACTCCCCTCAATGTCGCTGTCGGGCACATCCTATTCCAGATCCAAGAAGACTCCGCTATAAAGTGGCTAAGGAAGATGAAATCTCCTCTAAATTGCATAAATTCAAACAAGTACTATCGTTTCCACCGCGACCATGGGCATGACATCGACGATTGCTATGACCTAAAAAGACAAATTGAGAAACTCATCTACCGTGGCCACTTACGCCAGTATGTTGCTGGCAGAGAACGAGAATCACCACCTCGCAATCAAGAAGACCAGCAGCCCGTGGGAAAGATCCACACCATCTCGGGAGAACTAGCAGGAGGTGGAGAATCACTCTCTGTAATGAAGGCCCATGCTAGAAAGGCAAGGCACCTCGACGAGATACGCCCATCCAAAGTGCCAAAGCAGGGCGATAGCGAAGTCATATCTTTCTCAGATAAGGACTTAGAGGGAATCCAGCACCCCCATGACGACCCTCTGGTGCTCACCATAATTGTGGCCAATTTTCAGGTGTGCAGGATCCTAGTGGATAGTGGCAACTCTGCGGATATCCTATTCGCAGAGGCTTATGACAAGCTCAACCTGGGAAGAGAGAGACTGCAACCTATCAGATCACCCCTCATTGGGTTCTCAGGAAAAAAGGTATATCCCCTAGGGTCCATTACCCTACCTGACATAGCTGGAACATTGCCCCAGAGCTCCACAGTTATGGTCAATTTCTTGGTCATAGATTGTCCATCAGCCTACAATACCATATTGGGGCGACCTGCTCTTAACACTTTAAGAGTTGTGCCCTCCATCTGTCACCTCATCCTCCGCTTTTCAATCACGAACAGAGTCGAAGAGGTCAGAGGAGACCAGATAGCAGCGAAGGAGTGTTATATCTCCTTCATGAAAACCAGGAAGTCACAGGAGGCATTGTAAGTGGAGGTCCTTGATCCGAGGGATGACGCCACCATAGAGAAAGGAGAACCAGTCGAGGAGCTCACCCCTATGGCCTTGGATAAGGAGCACCCATACAGAAGAGTATACATCGGCTCTTCCCTTTCTAAAGACCTGGTTGGCCCGCTAATAGGCTTTTTGAGACATAACATGGACGTCTTTGTGTGGTCACATGCAAACCTTAAGGGAATTGACCTAGAAGTGGCCACACACCATCTCAATGTAGACCCGCGTCACAAGCCTATTCGCCAAAAGCTAAGGGGCGCCTCCACTGAAAGGACCCAAGCTATGGACAAGAAGGTAGAAAAGCTAATAGATAACGGGGCCGTCAGAGAAGTAGCATATCCTGAGTGGCTCTCCAATGTGATGATGGTCACTAAAACTAATGAAAAGTGGCGTCTCTGCG